CTTAACATTACCACATACAACGCTGTTCACAGGTGACTAAGTCTAATTACCTGACCACATACAACGCTGTTCACAGGTACCTTAACATTACCACATACAACGTTGTTCACAGGTGACTAAGTCTAATTACCTGACCACATACAACGCTGTTCACAGGTGACTAAGTCTAATTACCTGACCACATACAACGCTGTTCACAGGTGACTAAATCTAATTACCTGACCACATACAACGCTGTTCACAGGTGACTAAGTCTAACTACCTGACCACATACAACGCTGTTCACAGGTGACTTAACATTACCACATACAACGCTGTTCACAGGTGACTTAGTCTAATTACCTGATCACATACAACGCTGTTCACAGGTGACTAAGTCTAATTACCTGATCACATACAACGCTGTTCACAGGTGACTAAGTCTAATTACCTGACCACATACAACGCTGTTCACAGGTACCTTAACATTACCACATACAACGCTGTTCACAGGTGACTAAGTCTAATTACCTGACCACATACAACGCTGTTCACAGGTGACTAAGTCTAATTACCTGACCACATACAACGCTGTTCACAGGTGACTAAGTCTAATTACCTGATCACATACAACGCTGTTCACAGGTGACTAAGTCTAATTACCTGACCACATACAACGCTGTTCACAGGTGGCTAAGTCTAATTACCTGACCACATACAACGCTGTTCACATGTGACTTAGTCTAATTACCTGACCACATACAACGCTGTTCACATGTGACTTAGTCTAATTACCTGACCACATACAACGCTGTTCACAGGTGACTAAGTCTAATTACCTGACCACATACAACGCTGTTCACAGGTGACTAAGTCTAATTACCTGACCACATACAACGCTGATCACAGGTGACTAAGTCTAATTACCTGACCACATACAACGCTGTTCACAGGTGACTTAACATTACCACATACAACGCTGTTCACAGGTGACTAAGTCTAATTACCTGACCACATACAACGCTGTTCACAGGTGACTAAGTCTAACTACCTGACCACATACAACGCTGTTCACAGGTGACTTAACATTACCACATACAACGCTGTTCACAGGTGACTTAGTCTAATTACCTGACCACATACAACGCTGTTCACAGGTGACTAAGTCTAATTACCTGATCACATACAACGCTGTTCACAGGTGACTAAGTCTAATTACCTGACCACATACAACGCTGTTCACAGGTGAATTACCTGACCACATACAACGCTGTTCACAGGTGACTAAGTCTAATTACCTGACCACATACAACGCTGTTCACAGGTACCTTAACATTACCACATACAAAGCTGTTCACAGGTGAATTACCTGACCACATACAAAGCTGTTCACAGGTACCTTAACATTACCACATACAACGTTGTTCACAGGTGACTAAGTCTAATTACCTGACCACATACAACGCTGTTCACAGGTACCTTAACATTACCACATACAAAGCTGTTCACAGGTACCTTAACATTACCACATACAACGCTGTTCACAGGTGACTAAGTCTAATTACCTGACCACATACAACGCTGTTCACAGGTGACTAAGTCTAATTACCTGACCACATACAACGCTGTTCACAGGTGACTAAGTCTAATTACCTGACCACATACAACGCTGTTCACAGGTGACTAAGTCTAATTACCTGACCACATACAACGCTGTTCACAGGTACCTTAACATTACCACATACAAAGCTGTTCACAGGTGACTTAACATTACCACATACAATGCTGTTCACAGGTGACTAAGTCTAATTACCTGACCACATACAAAGCTGTTCACAGGTACCTTAACATTACCACATACAAAGCTGTTCACAGGTACCTTAACATTACCACATACAACGTTGTTCACAGGTGACTAAGTCTAATTACCTGATCACATACAAAGCTGTTCACAGGTACCTTAACATTACCACATACCAGTAGCGTAGCGAGGGGGGGGGGCGGGGGGGACATATATCCCCGGGCGCCGACCTTAGGGTAGGCGCCAAATTGAAAGTTTGAGGGGGGGGGGGTGCAAATGAAAAGTTCGAGGGGGGGGGGGGTGCAAATCGAAAGTTTGAGGGGGGGTGCAAATGAAAAGTTCGAGGGGGGGTGCTAATCGAAAAGTTGCTCCCAAGGGGGCGCCAAATTGAAAGTATGTCCCCGGGCGCCGGGAAGGGTCGCTACGCCTCTGCCACATACAAAGCTGTTCACAGGTACCTTAACATTACCACATACAACGTTGTTCACAGGTGACTAAGTCTAATTACCTGACCACATACAACGCTGTTCACAGGTGACTAAGTCTAATTACCTGACCACATACAACGCTGTTCACAGGTGACTAAGTCTAATTACCTGACCACATACAACGCTGTTCACAGGTGACTAAGTCTAATTACCTGACCACATACAACGCTGTTCACAGGTGACTAAGTCTAATTACCTGACCACATACAACGCTGTTCACAGGTGACTTAACATTACCACATACAACGCTGTTCACAGGTGACTAAGTCTAATTACCTGACCACATACAACGCTGTTCACAGGTGACTTAACATTACCACATACAACGCTGTTCACAGGTGACTAAGTCTAATTACCTGACCACATACAACGCTGTTCACAGGTACCTTAACATTACCACATACAACGTTGTTCACAGGTGACTAAGTCTAATTACCTGACCACATACAACGCTGTTCACAGGTGACTAAGTCTAATTACCTGACCACATACAACGCTGTTCACAGGTGACTAAGTCTAATTACCTGACCACATACAACGCTGTTCACAGGTGACTAAGTCTAATTACCTGATCACATACAACGCTGTTCACAGGTGACTAAGTCTAATTACCTGATCACATACAACGCTGTTCACAGGTGACTAAGTCTAATTACCTGACCACATACAACGCTGTTCACAGGTACCTTAACATTACCACATACAACGCTGTTCACAGGTGACTAAGTCTAATTACCTGACCACATACAACGCTGTTCACAGGTGACTAAGTCTAATTACCTGACCACATACAACGCTGTTCACAGGTGACTAAGTCTAATTACCTGATCACATACAACGCTGTTCACAGGTGACTAAGTCTAATTACCTGACCACATACAACGCTGTTCACAGGTGACTTAGTCTAATTACCTGACCACATACAACGCTGTTCACATGTGACTTAGTCTAATTACCTGACCACATACAACGCTGTTCACAGGTGACTAAGTCTAATTACCTGACCACATACAACGCTGTTCACAGGTGACTAAGTCTAATTACCTGACCACATACAACGCTGATCACAGGTGACTAAGTCTAATTACCTGACCACATACAACGCTGTTCACAGGTGACTAAGTCTAATTACCTGACCACATACAACGCTGTTCACAGGTGACTTAACATTACCACATACAACGCTGTTCACAGGTGACTTAGTCTAATTACCTGACCACATACAACGCTGTTCACAGGTGACTAAGTCTAATTACCTGATCACATACAACGCTGTTCACAGGTGACTAAGTCTAATTACCTGACCACATACAACGCTGTTCACAGGTGAATTACCTGACCACATACAACGCTGTTCACAGGTGACTAAGTCTAATTACCTGACCACATACAACGCTGTTCACAGGTACCTTAACATTACCACATACAAAGCTGTTCACAGGAGAATTACCTGACCACATACAAAGCTGTTCACAGGTACCTTAACATTACCACATACAACGTTGTTCACAGGTGACTAAGTCTAATTACCTGACCACATACAACGCTGTTCACAGGTACCTTAACATTACCACATACAAAGCTGTTCACAGGTACCTTAACATTACCACATACAACGCTGTTCACAGGTGACTAAGTCTAATTACCTGACCACATACAACGCTGTTCACAGGTGACTAAGTCTAATTACCTGACCACATACAACGCTGTTCACAGGTGACTAAGTCTAATTACCTGACCACATACAACGCTGTTCACAGGTGACTAAGTCTAATTACCTGACCACATACAACGCTGTTCACAGGTGACTAAGTCTAATTACCTGACCACATACAACGCTGCTCACAGGTAACTAGGTCTAATTACCTGATCACATACAACGCTGTTCACAGGTGACTAAGTCTAATTACCTGACCACATACAACGCTGTTCACAGGTGACTAAGTCTAATTACCTGACCACATACAACGCTGTTCACAGGTACCTTAACATTACCACATACAAAGCTGTTCACAGGTGACTTAACATTACCACATACAATGCTGTTCACAGGTGACTAAGTCTAATTACCTGACCACATACAAAGCTGTTCACAGGTACCTTAACATTACCACATACAAAGCTGTTCACAGGTACCTTAACATTACCACATACAACGTTGTTCACAGGTGACTAAGTCTAATTACCTGATCACATACAAAGCTGTTCACAGGTACCTTAACATTACCACATACCAGTAGCGTAGCGAGGGGGGGGGGGCGCCGACCATAGGGTAGGCGCCAAATTGAAAGTTTGAGGGGGGGGGGGTGCAAATGAAAAGTTCGAGGGGGGGGTGCAAATCGAAAGTTTGAGGGGGGGTGCAAATGAAAAGTTCGAGGGGGGGTGCAAATCGAAAAGTTGCTCCCAAGGGGGCGCCAAATTGAAAGTATGTCCCCGGGCGCCGGGAAGGGTCGCTACGCCTCTGCCACATACAAAGCTGTTCACAGGTACCTTAACATTACCACATACAACGTTGTTCACAGGTGACTAAGTCTAATTACCTGACCACATACAAAGCTGCTCACAGGTACCTTAACATTACCACATACAACGTTGTTCACAGGTGACTAAGTCTAATTACCTGACCACATACAACGCTGTTCACGGTGACTTAACATTACCACATACAACACCTTCAGTAAAACTTACATAATACCTGTATGCATGAAACGTTTTATTTATTTTTATCCCAGGCCACTCCCCGTGTGTGAGTACGTTTTGCCCCTGGAGAGAAACAAGAACTCCCGCCTCGGTCCCTTCTCACGTGTGGTCACCCTCATCAACCCGGACAACCCGTGCACGGTCTCAGGGGAGCTCGCCCCACCCGTCATCCTGTGACCTAGTGCTCACCCACCCCACCACGATACAGGTGCACCTTCAAACGGGAGGTGCGCCTCTAAGTGTATAAGGCGATCTTGTTACAACGTGGGATTTCAACAAAGGAAAAAGTTTCATCTGCACTCCATTTATCTTTTTATCGAGTACTTTTTTCTGTGAGCTGCACTTCATTCATCGTTTCCAGGTCTTCGCTCTAATATTCAAGTGGTATCGTCGGTTTAATGTAGTCGATTACATATTTCGCCCTGCGTGACTGCCATGTTTTGAATCAGGTACGATTATTTCTATCAACGATATCACCCGCAGGTATTCTGTTAAGTATGACATGGATGTAGTTGTAGTTAAAAGGAATGGGCCAATTTTTATATAAATGTTTTAAAAAATTGTATGAACACGTATTAAGCATCGTATAATAATTTATGGGTTTTACAAAAGCCGTGTCGCCCTTACGCGTGTAAAGTCCAGCTTACACACGTTTTTGTAATTGATCTTATCAAGCTTATAATGAATTTTATGTTTAATCAATGTGGCACATGTACCCTATTAAAACCTTCTTTAGTAACATGTGTTTTGTTGGCCTTATAGTTTTTTTTCCTTTCATCGTTGTGTGCAAAGCGTCAAAAGACACCTCATTGATCACCAGCTGGGGACACAGTGTCACCTATATGATCACCAGCTGGGGACACAGTGTCATCTATATGATCACCAGCTGGGGACACAGTGTCACCTATATGATCACCAGTTGGTGACACAGTGTCACCTATATGATCACCAGTTGGGACACAGTGTCACCTATGTGATCACCAGTTGGGGACACAGTGTCACCTATGTATCACCCGTTGGGACACAGTGTCACCTATATGATCACCAGCTGGATACAGTGTCACCTCGTTGATCACCAACTTGGACACAGTGTCACCTATGTGATCACCAGTTGGGGACACAGTGTCACCTATATGATCACCAGCTGGGGACACAGTGTCACCTATGTGATCACCAGCTGGGGACACAGTGTCACCTATATGATCACCAGTTGGGGACACAGTGTCACCTATGTGATCACCAGCTAGGGACACAGTGTCACCTATCTGATTACCAGTTGGGGACACAGTGTCACCTATATGATCACCAGTTGGGGACACAGTGTCACCTATGTATCACCAGCTGGATACAGTGAACAGTGTCACCTATATGATCACCAGCTGGGGACACAGTGTCACCTATATGATCACCAGCTGGGACACAGTGTCACCTATGTGATCACCAGCTAGGGACACAGTGTCACCTATATGATCACCAGCTGGGGACACAGTGTCACCTATATGATCACCAGCTGGGGACACAGTGTCACCTATCTGATTACCAGTTGGGGACACAGTGTCACCTATATGTATCACCAACTGGGGACACAGTGTCACCTATGTATCATCAACTGGGGAAATAGTGTTACCTATGTGATCACCACCTTGGACACAGTGTCACCTATATGATCCTGGGACACAGTGTCACCTATATGATCACCAGCTGGGGACACAGTGTCACCTATATGATCACCAGTTGGGGACACAGTGTCACCTATGTGATCACCAGCTAGGGACACAGTGTCACCTATCTGATTACCAGTTGGGGACACAGTGTCACCTATATGATCACCAGTTGGGGACACAGTGTCACCTATGTATCACCAGCTGGATACAGTGAACAGTGTCACCTATGTATCACCAGCTGGGGACACAGTGTCACCTATATGATCACCAGCTGGGGACACAGTGTCACCTATATGATCACCAGCTGGGACACAGTGTCACCTATGTGATCACCAGCTAGGGACACAGTGTCACCTATATGATCACCAGCTGGGGACACAGTGTCACCTATATGATCACCAGCTGGGGACACAGTGTCACCTATCTGATTACCAGTTGGGGACACAGTGTCACCTATATGTATCACCAACTGGGGACACAGTGTCACCTATGTATCATCAACTGGGGAAATAGTGTTACCTATGTGATCACCACCTTGGACACAGTGTCACCTATATGATCCTGGGACACAGTGTCACCTATATGATCACCAGCTGGGGACACAGTGTCACCTCAAACATCACCAGCTGGACACAGTGTCACCTATATGATCACCATTTGGGACACAGTGTCACCTATATGATCACCAGCTGGACACAGTGTCACCTATATGATCACCAGTGGGACACAGTGTCACCTATATGATCACCAACTGGGACACGGTGTCACCTATATGATCACCACCTGGGGACACAGTGTCACCTATGTGATCACCAGTTGGGACACAGTGTCACCTATATGATCACCAGCTGGGGACACAGTGTCACCTATATGATCACCAGCTGGGGACACAGTGTCACCTCGGTGCTCACCAGTTGGGACACAGTGTCACCTATATGATCCTGGGACACAGTGTCACCTACATGATCACCAGCTGGGGACACAGTGTCACCTATATGATCACCAGTTGGTGACACAGTGTCACCTATATGATCCTGGGACACAGTGTCACCTATATGATCACCAGCTGGGGACACAGTGTCACCTATGTATCACCAGTTGGGACACAGTGTCACCTATATGATCACCAGCTGGGGACACAGTGTCACCTATGTGATCACCAGTTGGGACACAGTGTCACCTATGTATCACCAGTTGGGACACAGTGTTACCTATATGATCACCAGCTGGGGACACAGTGTCACCTCGTTGATCACCAGTTGGGGACACAGTGTCACCTATGTGATCACTAGTTGGGGACACAGTGTCACCTATGTGATCACTAGTTGGGGACACAGTGTCACCTGTATGATCACCAGTTGGGGACACGGTGTCACCTATGTATCACCAACTGGGGACACAGTGTCACCTATATGATCACCAGCTGGACACAGTGTCACCTATGTATCACCAACTGGGGACACAGTGTCACCTATACGATCACCAGTTGGGGACACGGTGTCACCTATGTATCACCAACTGGGGACACAGTGTCACCTATATGATCACCAGCTGGACACAGTGTCACCTATGTATCACCAGTTGGGGACACAGTGTCACCTATATGATCACCAGTTGGGGACACAGTGTCACCTATGTGATCACTAGTTGGGACACAGTGTCACCTATCTGATTACCAGTTGGGGACACAGTGTCACCTATGTATCACCAGTTGGGTACACAGTGTCACCTATATGATCACCAGCTGGGGACACAGTGTCACCTATACGATCACCAGTTGGGGACACAGTGTCACCTATGTGATCACCATTTGGGGACACAGTGTCACCTATATGATCACCAGCTGGGGACACAGTGTCACCTATATGATCACCAGCTTGGGACACAGTGTCACCTATATGATCACCAGCTTGGGACACAGTGTCACCTATGTGATCACCAGTTGGGGACACAGTGTCACCTCGGTGCTCACCAGCTGGGGACACAGTGTCACCTATATGATCACCAGTTGGGGACACAGTGTCACCTATGTGATCACCAGTTGGGATACAGTGTCACCTATGTGATCACCAGCTTGGACACAGTGTCACCTATGACGACGGGCTTTAGGGGAGAAAGGAGAAGTCGAAAAAGCGGTTTCAGTTTGACCTTTGTAGAATCCCAATTTAATGGGGGGGGGGGGTCATTTACAAATTAGGTAATTTTCATTTGAGTAATTGTATACCCCTTCCCCTCCCGCTGTAATTACAGCGTGTTGGCATCGCACTTTCATTATACCTCCTTTTAACTAAGGGATCTTGCAAGTTGTAGAGTATGTCCCTAGGTTACCAGCTTTCAAATTAATAAAACATTGGATATAGGGCTGGTAAGTAGGTCACCAACCAGTTCTACGGCTCAATAAAACCTGCATGAGCCATACAACTTGTTGGTGACCTACTTACCAGCCCTATATTGGTGAAGATGACGCCTCTGGCCTCTGTGGTTTACATGCTTACGTGTAGTGACCAATGCAGGGTATCATAATTGTAAAGAGAGAAAACAAATTTAAATGAACTAAACACGACATTAACATCCAAATTTTAAAATGGTTTAAAAAAATTGAAGAAATGGAAAATGAAAAGAAAAATACTAAGTTATTAAAGTATACTAAAAGTACTAGTTTGTTTTTGTTTTTATTTATTACTGCCAGCAAATGAAATACAAAGCACAATTCTATTAGCGCGTTCGTTTGCTTCTTACAATTAGAAAAATCATCCCAATGAAATCGGAAAGTTAAAAAAAAAAAGAACATTTTGTTACTTTCGTATAAAAGCATTTTAAATACTTACATTTTGTTAATTTTTATTTAATAGAGTTATTGTTTTAAAAAAAAACATTTTTCTTTTACTATTAAAAACAGTATAATTAAAATTGTAAGAGAACAAATTGAATTATTGCAAAAAAATATTACATTGCTATTTCATTTGCACGACGCACTACATGAGAGTTCAAATATGGTTCAAGTCTTCTAAGGCTAATTAATTTCCCATTGTATGTAGATCTAGATTTGGCTTTAGGTATCGCTAAAATCTAATCGGAGACCTTTGGTAAACTAAGCCTTTTAACTGATGCTAAGTCAATTTCACTGAAGTTGTGTATCTATAAAATTACTGGCAGATTCGAATTGTATAGTTACCGTGACAGACTAATGTTTGTAAGTCCCAATTCATCTTGAGATCGATGCCGACTTTCCACTTGGAAATAATTCATTTCTCTGGAGGTTTTATAAACTTCCACTTGAAAATGATTCATTTCTCTGTCGGTTTTATAAACTTCCACTTGAAAACGATTCATTTCTCTGGCGGTTTTATAAACTTCCACTTGAAAATGATTCATTTCTCTGGAGGTTTTATAAACTTCCATTTGGAAATAATTCATTTCTCTGGCGGTTTTATAAACTTCCACTTGAAAATGATTCATTTCTCTGGCGGTTTTATAAACTTCCACTTGAAAATGATTCATTTCTCTGGTGGTTTTATAAACTTCGTCTCTGGGTCGGAACTTGAAGGTCCATGTTCACGTTCCACTTAAAAAATGACTCGTGTGTCTGGAGGTGTCTAAAGTATGAGCCACCGATCTTAATCCTGGGTCCGCGTTGGTCAGCTTTAAACAGGACCAGCCTGAAGGGCAGGACGCGGGGGTTCGTGTACATGATATCCCCGGCCACAGGCAGGTAGAAGGCGCCCTCCATCACCACCCTGTCATCGTTGGCGTCTGTGATCTCGGCGCAGCTGATCAGCGCATTCGTCCATGTTTCCGGTTCCTTCTTCTCACCTTTTCTGGCATCGATGAGAGACGCGGCCAAACCCGCTGAACCTTCGTGGTGGGTAACCACAACAGGGAGCGACTTCCTCTCCACAGATTCCCCAGACCCGCATACCTCCTCCATCTTGTACCCCTGTGGATTTATCGTTTCGGATTCCGATCCAGTTTTTGAAACATTCTTGCGGTTGTCAACATCGCCTGAGTTAAATTTAGCCGGGGAACTGTATGGACGAATCAAATTCGTTTTCGAGTTAAATACGTTCAAACCGCGGTTTGTTAGTTTGGAGTCACGGGTGTTGTCGAAAGCGTGACTCCTCTCTCTCACGTGATCAGAGAAACACGATCGTGTAGTTCGTCTGCTTGAATGAGCGGGTAAATTTATGTTTGATCTGGCACCGAGGGCTGGACATTTTGTACTCACCATCTTCTGCAAGATTTTTCTCTCCTGCAAGCATGCGGGTGAGTTCCACCACTGGATTAAATCTTTTTGTAACAGTTCGGGCTCGGCTATACAAGACAAGGTTGGACTTTTTTTGTCCCGCGGCGTCATGTCCTGATTTGACGCGGCTTCATCGGAATTACGACATTTCGACTCTTGTTTTGCAACCTGCTTAAAGTCCCCGGCTCTTCTACCTGACGCAAGCCGTGTACGTAACCAGTGCAGTGTTCGGCCAATGAACGATTTGTTTTGAGATAGACAACTACTGTCATTTTCTAAACGTATTTCAACAGAGAATGACGAATTATCGGTGGCGTTGCTTTTCGTGGAATCGAAAGGCAGATCTTCAATGCCGTGACTAGAAGCGTCACTGTTTACCGTGAGATTAGAATGTTTGACTCCTCTTGGCGGCTTTTTCTTGGTGACCGTCTTACGACTTCTGTTGTTCGTCGTCCTTTTCTTCTTGGTTTCTTTAGGGTGTATTGTGAACGTTCGAGAAACTACGTTATCTCGAGAAAATGGCGCCTGAATATAAACATCCTGTGTTTTTACGACTTCCGCCGCAACTTTACGCAACTTCTTAGTTGCAGACGTCGGCTTTGAAAAATCGTCTCCGTCCACGCAAGAACTAGTATTAATTTTATTTTTCTGATCCAAACGGCTTTCTTTTGATAAATTTATCTGGCAACTTTTTGTATTTATTTTAGCAGTACTTTCGTTTCGATTAGTTGTTGATGAAGATAATGCATTGCTGTAATCTTCTATTATTGTTGTATGGCGTGGTCTTCTAATTTCAGTCTGCGAGTCGTAAGATCCACCATTACCACAGTAATGACGGGAACTAGATTCTCCCTTACCATCTCCACTATCGCCTTTCTCGAACCCGGCAGAGCATTGTACGGCAAAAGGAGTTTGGTACAATTTCTGTAAACCAGCTTGGTCGTCAAAAGACAATCTCGTAGGAAAAAAGTTTTTTGCAGGAGCTTGCGTGTTACCGTCAAAAAGGCAGCGCATTCCACTCCAAGGAGTGAGGTACTGAGCAACACTTCCGTTTGTGAGTGCTGGGATATGGCCGATATCGGGGTTTGTCGTGACTGTAGTTGTTGGTACGATAGGCGTGGTATTGTCTTTGGATTCTGCAAGCGCGTCGATGTGTTTGGTTGTTTTTCGCGAGGCGAAGTATTCGGGGGTTAGAGGTGTACCGAAATATCCTGGCATCGGAGTAGCTCCAAAGTATTCAGGTGTGAGGGTGGGGACTAGGCTTCCAGGTATTAAGTTAGGGACAAGGCCTCCGGGTGTCTGGGTATTACCAAGGCCTCCAGGTGTTAGAGTAGAGACAAGGCTTCCGGGTAATAGGGTAGCAGCAAGGCTGCCATGTGCTAGATTAGTATCAGGGTCCCCAGGTGCTATATTAGCACCAAGGGTTTCAGGTGCTAAATTAGTACTAAAGCCTCCAGGTGTTAGGGTAGTAGTAAGGCCTCCAGGTGCCATATTATTACCAATGCCTCCAGGTGCTATATTAGTATCGCCTCCTGGTGTTAAATTAGTACTAAGGCCTCCAGGTGTTAGGGTAGGACCTAGGCCTCCAGTTATTATGGTAGGACCAAAGCCTCCAGGTGTTAGGGTACTACCCAGGCTACCAGGTGTTAGATTAATACCCAGACGCCCTGTTGTCAGATTAGTACCAATGACTCCAGGCGTCAAGGCAGCGCCAAAATAATAAGGCGTTAAAGTAGTACCAAAGCATTCAGGTGTTAGACTAGCCCTAAAGGCTCCTGGTCCTATCACGCCTCCAGGTGTAGTTCCAAAGTATTCAGGTGTCAGATTAGTGCCGATATATCCAGGTACGTCAGAGTACCTGGGTGGAGCTGGATTGTCAACGTGGCGATCCACAGAATTAGTACGGGGTCTATTAGATCCATGAGGGTCATTTTCTTCATTTTTAACAAATGTACCGTTGGGTTCAATATGCGTGCCTTTATTTCTAGATGGTAGAGTTTCGTTATATCTAGCATCGCCGGTGGCTTCGCTAGATCTTGGTTGGAATGAATTCTCACTACATCTTCGGCGGTGTGGAGTCTCGTATTTTCTTTCGACTGACCTGTGTTTGTACACTTGTGGATGTGTGTGATTGGGAAGACGGGTCGTGTAGATGTCATCGCGTTCATCACGTCGCGTTTGTTCTGAGAGACTCGAATGCGAAGGGGAAGGCTCCACCCCTTCGTGGATGCATTCAAGGTGTCGCGTTGAACGCCGTGCGCAGCTTCTGCTGGTGTGGAATCTACGCTGAGTGCTGCAGGACGAATCCTCCCCGCGGAGCCCTCTCGAGGTATCGTTCGCAGAGGAACTTGCAATGTCCTGCCTCAGCTGCGAACACACCTCGTTGTTTCTGTTTCTACACGCAAGGACTGCTTCATGTGGTGTTTTGGTCAGGAAATGTCGACCAAAACGAGAAGAACGAATGACTTGTTTCTGAACCAACCGGTCGTTCGCTGCTCCACGCTCAGGCGGAGGTAGAGCGTTCCAGCTTTGATCTTGTTCAACAGCTGCCGTGCTTTCTTTTGCTGGAGCCGGGGCTACAGTTTCTGGTATTCCATTAGGAACGTTTGGTTTTTGGGTTAGATCCTGATTTGAGAGTTCTGATTTAACCTCATCATAGGTGTGGTTTTGAGGTTGGTAGCTCTTTACTGAAAAGCACACGTTAAAAAATACCTGGGGGATTGTTTTCTCGATGAAAGGTTTGGTCATGTACGCACCCGAGTTATTACAATTGTAGTCCGGTTTCTTCTTCTCTGTGTTTAAGCAATGTTTGGAGCATATGTTGGATAGTTTTTTCTTGAGTTCATCAAGAGAGTCGTTCAACTCAATCTGATAACAAGAGTAGCTAGTTTGGCTTTCATTTCCGGTTTCGTTTTTCGGCGTGCAGGAAGTCTGACCTCGTTTCACTTTATTCGCTTCTTTTTGTAGAATTTTACTTTTCGTTATAATTTCCTCTATTTTTACTTTCAGCTCCTCGGCTAAGTTTTTCATACTTTTTTCCGTGGATTCCTTCTTGTAGGTGCCGATGTTGGTGCAGCTTGGCGACTTGGTCATTTTCTTGGCCTTGTACCGGATGTGGACGATGGGACGGCGGGACTTGGCGATGATCTTGTTGAACTTGTCCACCTGCAGCACGTTAAAGTCGCTGCAGGAGTCTCGAGGTTCGCACAGCGCGCAGTTGGGCTGGGTCGGGAAGCAGCTGGTGGACGGCTCGCTGAACTTGGTCACTGGAGACTTCTTGCACATCTTGCAGTCCGACTGGAAGGTGGAGATCTCCGCGATCGTGTCGGACGCGGTGTCTCTGTAGCCCGCGTCCCGCTTGTTGCTGGGTGGCTCGGCCGTCGCGGAGCTTGTCGGGGTCAGCTCGCTGTCCTCGCACACGTCCGTTGTCCAACACTCCGTGGCTGAACGCCCGCATTCGTCCACCTGCTTTCTGCAGATGATTTTCCCCAGGGTCTTGCCGTTGGTAAAGATTGGTTCGCCGGTACGTAAACCAGCGTTACCGATCTGACATTTTTTGTTGATTTTTGTAACTTTAGGGGTCAATTTTTCGCATGGGCACGTCGTCTTTGCGTGAGATTCGCCAGCTTTAGTACTTGGATATATAATCTTTTCTTGGGGTTCGTTAGCTTTAAGACAAGGACAGGTGGTTTTTTCAAAGAGGTCATGACCTTTATAGCTTAGGTAGGTTGACCTGTCATAGGGTTTGTTATCTTTAGCACACGGACATGTAGATTTTTTATAGGGTTCACTGGCTTCATTACTTTGATAGGTAGCTTTATCATAAAGTTCGTTACTTTTAGCGCAAGGACAGTTAGTCTTGTCGCGATCCTCATTATCTTTATTACTTTGATAGGTAGCCTTTTCATACGGCTTACCTTTAGCACATGGGCAGGTAACCTTTTCACTGGGTTCGTTATCTTGAGCACACGGGCAGCTGGACTTGACGTAACGATCACTTGTTTTTCTAAGCTCACGTGAGCTCTGATATCCCGGGCACGGGTCCACCTCCTTCCTGCACACAAGCTTGACCGAGCACTTGGGTCGATCTGACAGGGTCCCACACAGGCAGAGACCGTCGGGTTTAGACAGGCAGGCGCAGGTTTGTATGGCGCTGTGGGCCACGCCCTGCTGGCAGGGGTTGGGGGATTTCTTCAAGGAATCCATCTCCGCCTGGCAGCCCTTCGTCACTTTCCACTGCCTCGAGCTTGGCTTCCTTCTGGGTGAGCACATATCATCGAACGTGCACGGGAACTGTTTCCGTGACTCGCAAGGAGGGCTGGGGTAGGGTGGGTTCGGGCTCACATCTAACGTGGTTTTGCTGATTCGCGGCTTGTCGTAGTTTCTGCTCCGGCACGCCCGCGGAAGGTCGCGCAGGACAGACGTGACGGCATCGTCCGTGGGGTTCCTCCGGCACCGGCAGTCGTCCTGCCAGGTGCTGAGCACTTGGGAGATGTACGCCAGCGTCTCGCGCTGGATCTCGCACAACTTCCGGCCCAGAGTCTCGTCCATCTTGCTCGCAGAGTCCAACTCTTTTTTACTCTCGGCCGCTTCGGAGTGGATGAAACTATCGACAGCGGATAGACGTTTGGAAGTGGGCGAGTGAAAATACTCACAGCTTCTTCTCTCGTAAGGCGAATAACCGGAAGTCTTTGCGCTTTGCAGGCGATCGCAGCAGACGTTTCTTTTAAAGCAAGTCTTGGCTGTTTCCGGTCTTCGGCAGTAGCTTCCCCTGTCTTGTTTGATATCGCAGCGAAGTCTGGGACGGGGAAAAGTTGTCTGGGATTTCCGGCAAGGGGAACATGAGTATGGGTTGGACTGGGATAAGAGATTCGATGCGTAGCGCTCGGGTCTGGGTGACGTGAGTTTCTCGCATGGATCAAAGCATATTTGTCTGCTTTTGAGGTCAGCGCAGATTAAAGATGGCGTTCTGCAAAGGGCGGGGGTGTACTGCAGGTCTACGTCATCAGCTCGGAACTTGGAGCAGGAGAACATGGTGGAGGCGTCGTGAAGGGAGTGACGAGGCGAGATCTGCTTGGAGTAGGACGTGCCGGCCTCTGGGTGGTTGTAGCGCGACGTCTGCATGCCAAACGACATACGCGAGAACCTGGGCGAGTGGAGGCCGCTTTGTATATCGTGGTCGTACGGCGTGTTGTACGTTGGCGCCTGCTGACCCAGCGCGTGCGGGTTGGAGTGCGCCGGCTCGACCGGGTTTGCCGTGGACAGTTTTGAAGTCTGAAATTCGTGGCGATTGCTTGCAGATTCGTTGGTGGCGCTCTGGGGGATGGAGAGGTGGTTTTGGTTTGACTTCTGGGAGCTGACGTTAGACGGCTGTTTTGGTTCTTGCTCTCGGCTGGGTGCGCGCTTCATTTGGTCAAGATCCGACACGGCCGCTTCGTCGATGGAGTCCATCGCGTTGGCGGGAAAGGAACCTTGCGCGAACTCGGATGCCAGTTTTTTTAACGGCGGCGGTCCTTCCGATTCTTCCGTGTCGCTGTACTGCCGGTTCTGGGTTTCATCCGTCTCATCAAACCGGAGAACCGGATAAAAACCGGGCAGGCCTAGATCGTCCCAGTTTTTGTCTAAACTCGCCGCCTCCTTCTGGGGGAACACGTACATTTTCGTTCTCGTCTTCGACACGTCTGCTAAAGGCTGAAGACACCCGTGTGGGTCTTTCACCACGGCGTCATCATGCTCTACCGCTTGCGGGCCGGGTCCCACTCGCCAGCCGGAAGAGTTAAACGTGTAGGTCCGTGACTCCGGGAGATTCCCATCACTTTCACAGTCGAGCTTGGCGTAGCTGTCGAGGATCTGATCGAAGAGGCAGAGGATCTCAGCCGTGCCCAGGGATGTTGTTGGTTGTGGGGGCATCTTCTCCATGGATTTGATTGGTTGTTGGAGCATCGTGTCCAGGGATTTGGTTGGTTGTGGGAGCACCTTGTCCAAGGATTTGATTGGTTGTGGTAGCATCTTGTCCAGGGATTTGATTGGTTGAGGGAGCATCTTGTCCAGGGATTTGATTGGTTGTGGAGTCATCTTCTCCATCTCATCCCTAACGGCGACTGGTTCTTGCACAACGACCGGGTTCAGATAACGATTAAATAATCGGGTTATGGTCGGGCTCATGTCTTCATTTGTGCTTGTCACCTGGCATTTACTCACCTCATTTTGTTCACTATCCGACTGTGATTCTTGTGTATTGACGTTTGCAGTGTAAACATTAATTATTTCAGTTGGCGACCTCAGATCTTCGTTGGCGTACTTTGGGTCGAGGCTATTTTTATGCCGTTTGTTCTTAAGGTAACGACTCTTAAAATCCTGTCCCAGAATGTCTTTCTTGTAACGCTGCATGATATCGGCATAAAGTTCCCCAATCTCACGTCTCAGCGAGTCCGGGCTACTGTCACAACTTATTTCCTCGCAAGTGGGGCTCAGGGCCTGACTATGCAACTCCCCGGTGTCCCCCCGGGCCGGGAGATCGTCCACCTGGTCGGTCCGGCTGCCGGATCTCCATTGCTCGCGGATGAAATCCGTCAAAGCTTGCCGGGCAGGGTCGTGAAGAAGATTCTCTTTGGGGTCCGGGGGGTCTTTTTTCTGGTCCACGAGCCCGCGGAGGAACGACATGTCGCTTTTGTGGCACGTGACCTCCTCGCTGTCCTTCCGGTGGACGAGGTAGACGTCCCGAATGGGCGTGGCTTCCGCCAAAAACTCCTGCGAGCCGGCGACGTCGTCGAGTAAATATTTCCCCGAGTACTCGATCACGTTCTCGTTCCCGTGCAGGGAGGAGTTGCTTCTGTCCTTGACCTTAGGAAGGTCACTCGGGCACTGATCTACAAAGCGGACAAACTTTAGGTTAGCCTGGGTGTCGGGAGGCTGAAGCTGTGGTTGCTCGGATACCGCATGTTGAGTAATAACACCCGAGGCGCCATCTCCTGCAACACGTCGACCGCGATCTTTTCTTTTCGAGCTACCCGCCTTTGACGCCTTTGACGCCCTTTTTCGTTGTCGCTCTTCCAGCGTGTTGTCAGTTTTACCAGTACAGCTGTCGCCAGCCGAGAAGCTGTTGTCTGTTTGGATTAAATTATTCCAGCTTCTGTTAAAACAGCCCGCTGACGTCTTGATTTCAGTATCGATGTGTGGACAGGAGTCAGATGAATTCCCAACCTGCTCATCTTTTTTGACGGAGGTTGTTCGTATATTCCCAAAATTGTGAGCATTCGGCTGGTTTACTGGTCTGGATCTATTTTCATCGGTTTCAACTGTTGATGCCTTGTCTCGCTTCCGGTTTCGTTTTCTAAAAATTTGATCCATAATTTTAGATCTTTTCAACGAAAATTGTGTGCTTGATTTTGTATTCATATCACCGGCAGCAGTTTTCCAATGGTGACTGAAACTGAGGCACCGTTCAAGAGGAAACAAGTCGTCCACTGTATCATGATCTTCTTCGGTTTCGTTACTCTCTGCTTCTAAAGAGTCTTTTACACTGTGGGATACCAAAACCAGCGAGGGTTTGCTAGTTATCTCATTGGAGCTCTTCCTTTGGTGAGTTACGTTTATAACACTTTTGTCTATTTTTGGTAACATTGCATCACGTGACTTTTGACACTCGGCGTTTAGTGACGTGACCTGCACTTGACTTCTTTGTTCGACGAAGGTCACGAGGTTAACCCCATCACCGCCGGAATGACACAGCGGAATATTCCGGACCGCGAGCCGCCGCGGAAATGTGATCATGTCCTCCAGCTCGAGGAAGTTCGGCACGAGTTCCGTACCCGCTGGGGCGATGTCGATGAACGCGTCGTCTTCCAGAACACGGAAAAACCAATCCGGAAGTACAATCATCTTTTTGATACCCGGCAGCGCCCTCTGGCGTGACGCGTCAATCTGTCCTGTATTTCTCTCAGGCCACGGAACTTCCACGTCTTCTTTCATCAAAGCGTGGCGCCAGTCTTTCCTTTCACCACTCGTCTCCTTTTGGGTTTTCTTAGCGACCAACAGCTCACCGTCACCTTTGACATTCGCATTGACATCCGTAACCGACGCCGGCCGGCTGTGGAAAAATAACGGATAATACAACGGATGCCGCGATTTCCGCTGGTTTCGGTGACACCTCCGGAAAAAATTCCGCTGCGCTTTCGACATGGAAAGCTGGGCGTTATAATCCAACAGCTGAAATTTGGAGACGTTCCGGAGTATACGGCTTCCCATTTGGGCGATGGCGGCCTCTAGGTCGCTGAGCGACGGTCGTTTCAGGACACAAGGCAGCCAGATCGAGAGCTGGGTTTTCAGGTACTGTTTGTCGGCGTCGTTCAGCGTCATGTCGCAGGCGCAAGACACGCTTGACGCCCGCTTCAGCAGCTGTAACTCACGGCACGATTTTTCCCGGACCAGTTGCCTTTTCATCAAATCCATCGTCGCGGAATTTCGTTTCGATAAACTCGTCGGCATGCTTTTGCGTTTTAGCTCCTTGATGACGTCACTGACCGGCATACTTGGCAACTTTCTAGCGCTGGTTTTTTGCGCATGATAATGGGTTTGTCGTGCCGGAAACAGATCAGGGGCGTTATTCAAGTTCCGGCTGGGAACTGGTTTCCGTGGTTCCGGAGTTTGACCGGTCCGGCCAAGAACCGCTTGCTGCTGGCGTTTAACCATGGTCGCTTGTTGTCCCTGTTTGCCCACCATCTGCTAGACTTTCATCCTAAACAGCGGGTACAAGAACCAAATCTAGCCACAGGTCCAGCTTTAGGGCTACAATTCTTCTGTCACCTAGTCAGAATGTATATATATATATATATATATATATATATATATATATATATATATATATATATATATATATATATATATATATGCATGTATATACATATATGTATATATATACGTACATATATATATGTATATATATACAATGGGGTCACAGGGCTGGGCATCGGTTGTCACCATTTAGGAGCTGACAGCACGACGAAAAATGGTAACATTTATTTTCGAAACAAGTTTTATACAGTTAATAAAATGGTAGGGAGAGAGGGTGACACCTAACCGAAAATGCTAAATTGTTCGAGGGTGGTGGGGGTGACACCCTCAGTTACCGCACAGGTTGACACTCGACCTAGTGACACCCTTCCCCCAAGATTTACTAAACCTCTAATTGAGTATTGTGTAAAAAAAAATTTATTTTATCCTATGAAATATCACATCGCCTTGTCAAATTATTCTCCTCTAAAATTTCAGGACTCCGTGACTTCCATATACAGCGATACGCTCACTTTGAGTACAGAAACACAACAGAACAGCTACTCAGAGAGCAATACTTAAGCCATGTACTAGGCTGGTAGACGCTACTGAACCCTACAAAGACACAAAAACAAAACAGCTACCCAGAGAGCAGCAGCTACCCAGAGAACAACAGCTACCCAGAGAGCAGCAGCTACCCAGAGAGCAACAGCTACCCAGAGAGCAACAGTTGCCCAGAGAACAGCAGCTACCCAGAGAGCAACAGCTACCCAGAGAGCAACAGCTACCCAGAGAGCAACAGCTACCCAGAGAGCAGCAGCTACCCAGAGAGCAACAGCTACCCAGAGAGCAACAGTTTGCCCAGAAAACAACAGCTACCCAGAGAGCAACAGCTACTCAGAGAGCAACAGCTACACAGAGAGCAACAGCTACACAGAGAGCAACAGCTACACAGAGAGCAACAGCTACCCAGAGAGCAACAGCTACACAGAGAGCAACAGCTACCCAGAGAGCAACAGCTTCCCAGAGCAGCAGCTGCCTAGGGAACAACAGCTACCCAGAGAGCAACACTTACAGCCATGCGTCAGGCTAGTATCCACTGAACTTGACTCGGTAGTCCTCGAGCTAATCTTGAATACAACTTGTCGCATACTGCCGACATCGGAGACTACACTGCAAGACACGTGAAGCAAAGAGAGTTCAATAACTGTAACAAACAACAACACTTTTAAGATAGCCGGCAATGTAATGCCGTCTAATATCCAGGTTTGTTTTTAGAATCAGCTATGCGCAGAGGGGGAGGGGGGGAGTGCAAATGAAAAGTTCGAGGGGGGGGGGGGTGCAAATCGAAAGTTTGAGGGAAGGGGGTGCAAATGAAAAGTTCGAGGGGGGTGCAAATCGAAAGTTTGAGGGAGGGGGTGCAAATGAAAAGTTCGAGAGGGGGGTGCAAATCGAAAGTTTGTCCCCGGGCGCCGGGAAAGGTCGCTACGCCTCTGGCTATGCGTACGCTCAGTGATGGGCTGGGATGCACATAAGACTATGAGGGTAAGCAGAGTTTTTTCCAGGCATCTCTTCGGGGGGGAGAAGCTCCCCCCCCCCCCCGAAAAATTTTTACTGCCCCACCTTCCCCCCCCCCCCCCCCACCCCGAACGAAATGAAATTTATATAATTTATATAGAAAAAATATATATTTAACAGTGTCCGCCCCCCCCCCCCCCCGAAAATTTCAAGTGCCCCTCCCCCCGGAGAAAAAAGTCTGGAAGAAACACTGAGGGTAAGGCTTGAAGTTGGGTTAAGGCTTAATGCCAATGCCGGAGTTATGATGCCGATGCATGAGATAAGATTTGATACACACTATATGAGATCTTAGAAGTAGGCGTGTCCACACCAAATAATGTATCACAGTCATTCAAGTATCTAAAGGTTAGCTATGCTCTGGTTTCTTTTGGTCTATGTATTGGCTTTACTTATGTCCACAGCCTCACCCCCCCCCCCCCTCACCCCCCCCCCCCCCCATTTGCTTAAGCACCAATGAAAGTTAAGTTACAACTATCGATGGAAGTGTTCTGGTCTCGAATTATGTTTACACAATAGGTAACGATATCTCTTGACCGACCAGCTGACCAGAGTTTCTTCCAGGCATGGAAGAAATGGAATTTATATAGAAAATAAAGAAAACATACTTTTACTAGGGTCCGCCCCCTCCCCCCCCCCCTATAAATATCAAGTGCTTCCAGGAGAAAAAAAAAGTCTGGAAAAAGTCATTGGTTCCTACCTGTTGGTTCTCACCCCAAGCTACTCTCAACTGGTTGACCAATGGTTATCATTTATCTTACACTACTCAAGCCCTCCTGTCTGCTTGATTTATTTCTAAATATATGTCTCATCACTCTGTCACACTCTATCCCTTTATATCCCGAGGTCCTAGAAACAGGTGAACTCTACTTCATCTATCCCATGGAGCTTCAGGTATATAATAATAACTTTATTTTAGACTTAGACTTATATAGATCTAAACATAGATCTACATTGACATCTATGTAACAGAGTTAGATTTAGATGCACATTTATAAGAGAAAGGCCAAGATCTACAGTCTACTTTTAGCTAATAAATGGCTATTTAAAACATTTTTAATAAACACTGTTAGAGTTAATGCTAAAGTAGAGAAATAACCATCAAATTTAAAATTCCCTCAACTGATACATTCCTGCAAGAATGTACCAATAAATATTAGCGCTCTTACTTACTTTTCAATGTCGACACATCAGCGTGGTCAGTAACAGTGCTAGTTTGCGTGCGCCACTTTGAGCTTTTCACGTGGATGCAACACAAAGAATATCTCGTTTGTATTTTCCAACGGGGCAGAGGTGTCACTACACTAAACATTGAATTTTTTTTTGCCAGTCACTTATTTTAAATAACAAGACGCAAACTGAGCCAAACCCTTAGAACAGAAATTGTACCTGGGGTTCAGAGTGTCTGCCGCCACCCCCCCCCCCCCCGAAGAAAGTCTACCCCCCCCCCTCCCGAACGAAATGGAATTTATATAGAAACTATATACTTATAATAACAGTGTCCATTCCTTTCTCTCCCCCCCCCCCCCCCCGGAAAAAAAGTCTGGAAGAAACACTGATTAGTATTATTACTGAATAAATAATACTAGATCAATTATAAAAGTAGACGTTTTTTTTTAATTAAAAAAAAATAAAACATGTTGAAGTTGTGTCTAGAAGCCCAGTCTTGCCTAAGTCAATGTTAACTTAAAATTTAAAACATAACTTTCGATTTCCCACGCGTATAGAAGAGTGAAGAGTCAACATTTTAAGTCAAAGGGAAACCACTGCAAAATACAGTTACAAAAACATAACAAACAATCGATGAAAAAAGTTAAAACAATACATTACAAAACAAGATTTTTAGACAGGTTTCAACGAAACTCAGTGTTAGAGGTCGTTTTATTTTGAATAGTAACTGTAGTAAGCTGCAGATTGTCGATATTTTTATCACAGCATGTTCTTTTTATTTGTCGTGTGTAATAATAGAGTGTAGAGTCACTGTAGAGTCAGAGTGTACTCAGTGACAGTGTGAGTGTAATCAGTGTAGCAGTAGAGTAAATGACAAATCAAAATCAATGAGACTCAGTCTGACTCAGTAAATTACTAAATAAATTACTAAATAATAAATAAATGAGAACTGCCAAATCTTGATTTCTACTCATAGTACTACTCTAGTCTAGATCTAGATAGTAGATACTCTAGAAAGAATCTCCGTAACCTTGCTCCTTAACTCTTAACTTAAAAGTCTTAATCGTAAATGTAGATTTATATCTAAAAATAATCTAAATTATACTATTATTAGTATTAGGCCTAAGCCTTATGCCTTATTAGTTAGTTATGAAATGTTACAGTTATTACTATTAGTATTACTATTAGGCCTACTATTTAATTATTATACTTATTAGGCCAATAGTGCCATAAAGACACCTGCCTAACTAATTTCCGCAAAATTCTGAAAGGGAGAAAGAAACAAACACTCATTGTCTCTGAGATTTAGGCCTAGATTCTAGATAGGTAACTAGATCTACATATTTAGCTATAAGTTTAAATAGCCCAGACGCATGACCAGTAGAATAGTATCTTGTTAGGATTTTTTTTTTTGCACAGAGTACAACAGCTGATCTGGTTGCTTGTATCTCAAAATTTGCCCGTATTTTAAAGAATAAAATACTTAAAAAAAACTTTTTAAAAAACCACGTTTTTCTTGTGGACTAAAAAGTAGAAAATAACTATTTACATACATTTGATGACAAAAAACGTGGGTACGTTCACCATCAAATTTCCCGACCCATCTGCCCGACCCACGTTTTTTGTCATCAAATGTATGTAAATAGTTATTTTCTACTTTTTAGTCCACAAGAAAAACGTGGTTTTTTAAAAAGTTTTTTTTAAGTATTTTATTTTCTCCTTTTTAGTCCGTTGCTACACATGAAAAACGTGGTTTTTAAAAAAGTTTTTTATATAGTTTATTTTCTACTTTATCTAATGACTTGATTAAGTATGAATTGACTAAGTGTTTATAAATACACGGACTAAAAAAATCTTGAGCGACCAGGATTCGAACCTGGGTTGTCGCGGCCACAACGCGAAGTACTAACCACTATACGATCACGGCCAGCGCGCTCACATCGATTGGGGCCGAAGTAACTGTGTCTATAAGCCTCCAGTCTTGTCGGTATCTTTAGAAATCATGTCCTCAATTTTATGGTCCTTGGGGCGTAATTAAATTAAGCTAATTACCGTCTCTAATTGCTAGTTTTTATGATTGCATCTGAAATTGTTAGGCGAAAGTAGCCTACATGCCAAATTTCAGATCTATTGAGCAATCAGAAGTGGGTTAATTTTCGATGTCAATTTTAACAACAAACACACGCGAAGCTGAGTTAATAAAAACGTGTTAATAAAAAACACCCCTCACACAATGACTCATATTTTAAAAGTTCATATGTTAATGCACTCGCACCACTGTATAAGATTTTTAGATAGATATCTACAAGTTTCTAGATCTACTTAAATCTACTAGATTCTAGTAGTGAATCCAATTTATTAATTAGGTTAGATATTAAATCATTTAGTATCTAATTAGGCTGAGTGCTAATCTAGACTAGTAGTAGGCCTACACACAGCAGTAGATTTCTAGTACTTAAAGTAAGTATGTAGTCATAGAGTAGTATAGAGTCTACAATTACTCTAGAGTAGGATCTAGTGCTGTTTACTTCAGAACATTAAATTCAAAGAATAAAATGTCCATTAATTTTATAATTTCTATCTAAAAAAGTTCTCTATCTCTTAAAAGTCTGTAATACAATACAGTCTAACAATCATACCAGATTTTCTTTTGTGGGGGTCAGCTTATCAGTGACAAAGTTATCATGATAAACATGGTATTATTCCCCTTCTTCTTATCACTATCAGTGTCTTATGAATATGAACTCTAAACAGGTCATCATCGAAATTGTGTGTATGTTTCACTGTCCCTGATTGCAATTTGAGAAATCTGTGAAGGGGCATCCATGGGAGCAGTGCAGTAGTTTAGTTGATCTGATCTCTAACTGCAACATACAGTCTATATATGTACTGATAAATACATATAAATAAATATATATATAGGCCTATATATAAATATATATAGATATATGTATATAAATAAATATGTCCACATATGTTTGTGTGTGTATATATATATATATATATATATATATATATATATATATATATATATATATATATATATATATATATATATATATATATATATATATATATATATATATATATATATATATATATATATATATATATATATTAATATTGATTAACTACTTTTATGTAGGTAGTCAAATATGGATGTAGATGAAAAACAACCAGTGGCCTGGGATGCTGTTGTGCTGACCTGCTCCAACAAGGAATGGACCCAAACATTACAGCATGGTAAGTGAGCTGAAATATAAAAAATGTATTAAATTTGTAGATTTTTGAACCCAAACATTACAGCATGGTAAGTGAGCTGAAATATTAAAAAATGTATTAAATTTGTCAATTTTCTATATATCTAGTGTTGTATTGGGTTCACTTCTCCTGCTGATATAGCTGTTTTAACTAGGGTTATGATTAGGTTGGGAGCCATGGTTAGGGTAGAGATCATATGACTAAAAAAAATCCCAGCTATAATAGAAAAATCCCAAGTATTTTATATCTTTATCTTACATATATTTTTAATCATATTTTTAAAAATCTCCCTTTGTATAACTAGAACTGGATATTCACCATAAAAAAGGCTATTTGGGTAAAGATGTGATTCACTTGGTGGTTGAAGATCCCAAATCAAACGTTGGGAGTGGTGGAGCTACATTGAATGCACTCGTGACTGTTGTGGAATATATGAGTGCCAGACGTGGATTCACGGTTGGTAACACACAGACAAATTGTTTTATAAATTTCACATTGTGTTGGTAGCACACAGACATCAATTGTTTGATAAATTTCACATTGTGTTGGTTACTTCTCACCTAACACACAGACAATTTTTTTTATAAATTTCATGTTGTGTTGGTAACACACAGACAAATTGTTGTATAAACTTCACATTGTGTTGGTAACACACAGACAAATTGTTTTATAAATTTCATGTTGTGTTGGTAACACACAGACATCAATTGTTGTATAAATTTCCCATTGTGTTGGTTACTTCCCACCTCTTGTGTACATGATGGTAGAGTCACACTTTCAAGTTTCCCCTTCAGTCCTTGTGGTCCGTGGTGTAGATTAAGTAGAATTTATTTTACCATGGCTTATAAAAGGATAATGTCATCTTGACTTCCCCCTGCCCTGAATGAATATTGAGTACATATTGAAGCTGGGTGGACTCCCTGAAATCTTAAGGAAACAAACTTGGAATCCGAACCTGAGATTTAAGTTTGAGAGTCATGTGCACTACTCTTTGAACTTCCTCTATACTTTACACTTTTATATGGAAAATTGCATTTTATAAGAGTGGAGCAAATTTTTCACTACACCTCCAACTTGAGTTTGATTTCAAACTTTGATGATACATTTCATCAGTATAAATTATCTGATTTTATCACAAAATCCTTGTCTAATTTTTAATGAGAGAGAATAGAAGCTGTAGTATTACAATTTATTACATACTTATTAATTTTATTTTTAAAGCAATTCTTATCAGGTGTATCATTTCATTGCAGGTGATCAATGGCGATGTTTTGAAAAATGCTAAAATTTTGATACTTCATACTGTAAGTTTTTTTTTTAAAAATATAGTCCTTCCATTATCAAGTTTTCTCTTTTAACATAATTTATATAATAATATGTTACATTGACTTCTGTTATTAGTGCAGTGGCTCCTGTTTTTTTTGTGGTGTAGTAAAGTGAAGCCACAACTGATGTTGATATTTGTCTTTTACTTTTGTTTGATAGGGAAGGAGGTACACATACGAGGCCTGTAGTCGGCCTTTTGTCACTTTACCTGCTGTTCGAAGCCGACCAGAATTTGATGGGTTGATCTACAACTTTGATCTCATTTACTCCATCATAACACACAAGGTGAGTCAAACAAGCCTGCATGTATTTGTGGAGTGTGCTTTTTTTAATAAGTTGTGATGCATTGAAACGATGAGTTGCAAAAATACTCCTATAATCTGCAAGGTTAGTTAAACAATTTTTGGCTATATACAAATGTAAATAAAGAGTAAAATTACAGTGCTTGAAACCACACAGTGAAATAATACTTTGTTAAAAAAGTAAGTAAAACAATAGCCTTACATTACTTATGCAGATGTTGTAAAAAGAAAACAGGTGTTTGAATCTATGACTTGTAAAAATAAATGCTACTGAATTAAAACCATGAGTAGATGTAAATTTGTATTGTTTTTAAGAAGGAAAATTGTGTTTCAAAGTATGACTTGAAAGAATTCAAACAACAAAATTAAAAATATGAGCAGATATTGAGGTGTTTTTTTTAAAATTTCCAGATTGGTGTGTTCAGTGGAGCTGGTGTGTGGGTGTGTAGTACAGACATGGTTCTGTCTCTGCCAAGTTTTTTAGGTAAGTCAAATCACAGTGGATTTCTAACACCACAGTGGATATCTAACTATCATCATAGTGGATTTCTGACATCACAGTGGATTTTTAACAATCATCACAGTGGATTTTTAAGTAACATCATAGAGGATTTCTAACATCACAGTGGATTTCTGTAACATCATAGTGGATTTCTGAGATTGCAGTGATTTTCTGACTAGCATCATAGTGGATATCTGACAGCACAGTGGATTTTTAACTAACATTACAGTGGATTTTTAACTAACATCATAGTGGATTTCTAACTAGCATCACAGTGAAATTATAAATCACAGTGGATTTCAAAATAGCCAGTGGAATTTTACATTACAGTGGATTGAAGATTATCTTTTCATTTAATTTTTAAAAGTTGTACATTTATATCACAGCTGGATAATTAAAAATATAAATCTGTTTTCATAGCTTACTACTCCAAAAGAAATTAAGATAATAACATTTGAAATTTTAGGATGGATGGATCTTAAGTAATTTAGAAAAAATCTACTCTTGGTATTAGCTTACAGCCATTTGAATTATTACTATGAAACTCTCAGTGTGGAAATGATAATAGCAGAAAAACTGCTCCATAGAAAGAGACCAACTACAAATTACAAATTTAAGCTTTAAGAAAATATTTATAATACATCTTTTGTTTGAAAATTTAGTTTAAAAATATATTGAAAACACTTGATGCCTATTGTTTTTAGACTGTGAGTCAGCTTTCACTAATTGTGATGTGTGTGCTTTGAGTATCCCAATGCCACCCAAAATTGTCAAAGAACATGGAGTATACCAGCTTGACCCACAGGTACTGTATTTTAATGCCCCTTTAATTACCAGCTTGACCCCCAGGTACTGTATTTTAATGCCCCTTTAATTAGCTGCTTGACCCACAGGTAAATGGTAAAATACCTAACTTAGTCAAATAAAATATTTCACCAGAGCTATATAGACAACATCATATACCAACCTTAGTCAAATAAAATCTTTCATCAAATAAAATCTTTCACCTGGGCTATATTGAGAACATCATATACCAACCTGAATTAGTCAAATAAAATCTTTATATAGAGAACATCATATACCAACCTTAGTCAAATAAAATCTTTATATAGAGAACATCATATACCAACCTTAGTCAAATAAAATCTTTCCCCAGGGCTATATAGAGAACATCATCTACCAACCTGACTTATCAACATTGGAGGGGTGCACACGACCTGATGGAACAGTCCCTGCTGTATGTCATCTCTTCTAAGTCACCATAAATTTTCAATCATTGACTGCCGTGGGCATTTTGTGCTGAGATTTAATTTTTAAGTCTCTTGCTGTTTATGTCCAGGACTTGAATAAACTTTTTTACTTCTGTGTTACAGACTGTAGGGGCTGTGTTTCTGTCTGAGGCTGTTGCTGAAACTCTCCTGTCTTTTTACACCAAGCCACCGTTAGATGCTTGTACGTACGTGGGGCTGGACAGTGGTCAGCCACAACTGAAGGTCAGTAGCTCAGTGGAACCAGTCACAGTGGATCATACATCATTTGTTTGATCTTAACCTCTGTCTATATATAAATAACTGTATGTCTGTGTGTGTATGTGATAGTTGACTGTCTGTTATGCATTACTACACCATATGTATGATTGCCATGAAACTTTGGGAGTTGTTGGGTACACTTCAGAGAAGGTTTTATATTTAAATATTAGATGTCCTGGTGATAGTGTGCAGTTGGGTGCCCAGAGTTCTCTCTTAACCTCATTTCAACCATGCAGATAAAAAGAAAAAAACTCACAAAACTTTAAATCTAAAATAATAAATATTTTTCCATTCCTTGTAACTTGGCTTGTTCTGTTTTTCGTATTTCTTCAGTTGTTACCGTTATAGTCTCTGAGAAGCCAATTATTATGAATGAGAACATATACAATGTGTGTAGCATTTGAAAATTTTAAGTTTAGTTAGGAAAGGAAATATTTATTAATTATATTGAATATTTTAGTGAAATTTAAAAATTGAATATTTTAATGTAAAAACACTATAAAAATCAAAACGGAGTAGTTTCCCTGGATGTATAGAGTTAAAGGAAGATGGACAGACGAATAAAGCAAATTATATATCAAGTTGTTACTGTATGAATGGAAATATTTTTGCTCCCTTCCTCAGTTGTCCTTTTTTTTTGATGTGCTACTACCAATGACATCAAATATTTTTGCTCCCTTTCCTCAGTTGTCCTTGTTTTTTGATGTGCTACTACCAATGACATCAGCAGTAACAGAGGAAGATTTTGTCAGGGGAAATCGCAGCGGGCCCTATGGGAAGCCAGGCACAGCAGATCCCACCAACACAAGACTGAACACGGAGTACGCCAGACAAACACTGTGGAAGGAGCTCCATGGATACCGCATGAAAGCATGTGGGTAGTCAGTGTGTTTGTTTGTGTCACTCAGTTGATCTGTATTTGAACAGACACATGAATACTAAAATACTTAAAGAAAGCTCTTTTAGAAAAAAAGGGTAGAAAGAGTAGTTAATGTATTAAAATTATATTGAGGCTGATACTGATAGGAGAGTTATTGTTTACATTTAGTAAAATAAATACAATAAAATTACACAATTTTCTTTCTTAACTTTTAGCCAGTTTCTACTTGAAAAAGGTGAGTCTGAAAGAAAAGTACTTTGATGACTCTGAAGTTAAAGTTTTATTTGTTTTAAAATAAAATATTGCTGTACGTTTTAAATCATTTTTTTAAATTTTCAATTCAGAAAAGCTGTTGCATTTCTACTTTATTAAGATTAATTTATTTTTTGTTAAGTTTCTGAATATAAATTTTGTGTGGATATTTTTTTTCTCTTAAAACCCATAATTTTTTAGCGTATTAAGAATCAACTGTTACATAATATTTACATTATGTTTTATACTATAGAATACGATATAAAATTAGGAAATAGTGTAGTAAAATATGAATGCAAAACTAAGCCTAGCATCCACACTGACTCATGTTTTAATATATGTTCAAGCTGATTACCTGATCCTTTTTGTACAGTTGAAGGGAATCAGCATTGTTAGTATTCATTGTTTTGGACGTAGTGCGTCTATCCAATACTTTCTTCTCATTAGCATTTTCAATACTATTCTCTTTTGTTTTATGAAATACCACCTAAACAATATAATACACTTAAAAACTTAAGAGTTTATATTTAATCGTAGATCAGATGAAAAACTAGTTTCCAAAAAAAGTATTGATAATCTATATTACACATATATTGACTGTTAACCTTTTTTTAATATCTACCATTGATTTGGAATTTTGCACAGACTTTGCCTCTGCTAATCAATTCTTAAGAAGATTGTGATTTTCTTATGACCTTTGACCTCTGTAACAAGTCCAGTCACTAATTTTTCTGATGCATGTATAGAATGTTGCCTTGTCCAGTAAATAAATGTCTACACTTGTCTGATCTGCCAGGTGTTGTAGAGGGTGGCAAGTTCCATTACTTAACCCACACAGCCACTGAACACAAGAAGCTTCTGCTCAACTTTCCTGAGACTGACCAACTGGGCTTTATCTGGACCAAACAAGCCCATGTTGATATTGAGGTAAATAGTTTATCTAGACCAAACAAGCCCATGTTGATATTGAGGTAAATAGTTTATCTGGACCAATCAAGCCCATGTTGATATTGAGGTAAATAGTTTATCTGGACCAATCAAGCCCATGTTGATATTGAGGTAAATAGTTTATCTGGACCAATCAAGCCCATGTTGATATTGAGGTAAATAGTTTATCTGGACCAATCAAGCCCATGTTGATATTGAGGTAAATAGTTTATCTGGACCAATCAAGCCCATGTTGATATTGAGGTAAATAGTTTATCTGGACCAAACAAACCCATGTTGATATTGAGGTAAATAGTTTATCTGGACCAATCAAGCCCATGTTGATATTGAGGTAAATAGTTTACTTTTGTTACTTTTTCTCTCCAATATTATCTAGTCTTTGTGCTGCAATGAAGTTTTTAGGTATCCCCCTTTTATATATTCTGAAATACTCAATGGTAGGAATAAAATATTTGACATTGTTTTAGCAAAATTGATTCAAGTCTTTTATAATAATTGAAACAGTATCAATACTCTTTTGTTTCTGGTTAAATATGTTGCCATGTTCTGTGTTAAAAAAGGTTTTCGAAATACAATAAATTAATTGTTTACTATACTATGACAGAACTAAAAACAAATTTCTGACACTAGATTGTAAGCCTAAAACCAACTTTTTTCCCCCACCCCAGCCAACGTGCTCCGTCAGTGAGGAGAGTGTCATCATCAACTCAAGGCTTGCGGGAGAAGTCAGCGTGGGGGGCAGGACGGTCATATCTCACTCTGACCTCAGTGGGCAGATAACTGTTGGTAAAGATTCACTTTTGACTGGGCTTCAGATTGATATCCCCAAGGCAAGTCTCCATTTTTTTACTGTCATTGTCTTGTGGTTTTATAGAGATTTATTTTTTATCTCCTCAATTACTTTTTTGTTGTTATAGAACAGGGGTCTCCAAACTACGGCCCGCGGGCCGGATGCGGCCCTCGAGGTCCTCTCATCCGGCCCGCGGAGATCTTTTTGTCCAAAGAAAAATCGTTTGTTGGTGATGGCTAAGGAACTTGCCCAGAAAAATCAAAGACATGCCTAGAAGAAACTGGCCCCCAACTGAAATTTGATAGATAATGCGGCCCTCGGACTAAAGAGTTTGGAGACCCCTGTTATAGAAGCTTATTTATGATATTCTAGATTCCTGTAAGATAATGAAAAATCAAAACATCATAATTAGCTATTTTTATGTCTGTGTAAAAGAATAACACGTTTATTGTCTTCTATTAGATGCATTAGCCGTCGATACCCGTTACACGTGAATTATAGACCTATATATTTTTATGTTATATTTGTTTGAGAAAAATATTTTATAAAATAGTTATTGGTCAAAATGCAATGTGCTTTACTACACGTTGAACCATGCAAAGAAACAACTAAATAGTTAAAAATCCAACACATTTAAAATAACATACCAATAACTATTAGAAAAAAGAAATAATAATAATATATTTTATTAGTCAACACAACACCATATTAAATGCACACACTGATTAAGAGACTCAAATGTTTCTGTTAAAAACCCAGCTGTTTTGTGATATTTATGTTGTTTTTTAAAGTCATTTGTAATACTTTTGGCCAAGAAAATTGTATACATTTCATAGTGTTCATTTTGATAACTAGATCTACAGATCTAAATCGAATTTCAATGAAATAGTTTGTTTCTTCATATTCAAAATTGGAAGATGACGCCATTAGTTTTTTGTAATTTCCGTAATTTAAACACGTTTCATGTGACATCATTGTTTTTTGCATTCCTATCACAACAATAAATACTTATCCGGTTGCATAATTAAAAATGTGTTTCTACATTCAAATATGCGTATATTTTTATTTTCCTTCTTTAGATAAAATTTAGTTTATACATTTAAAACACCCAGCATATTATTTTCAACAGAAGTCCGAATCTTTAAGTTCTCCATATATTGCTGAACATACTGATCACATAGCCTCAAAATGTTGAGGACACAGAGAGAGAGAGAGAGAGAGATAGAGAAGTGTGCACATGGGCTTTTTACAAGCTTTTATTTAACTTGCTTTCTCTGTCTAGATCTAAACGCCCGAGGAAAATTTCGGGCACTTCTAACTGACAGATCCGGTTCAAAGTTGGCACATGGGTCAAGACATGAAGACAATACAATCTGACATTAAATTAATTTTTTATGAATTAATCCAACTATTCCACACTATTATACATGTGTTATCAATTTCATTAGGTGTGCAATGGTTTTTAGTCAGGCAACTTCATTGTAAATTTTTAAAATTTAAAGTACTGAAAAAAAAATTCATAAAAAACGTTTTAATAACAAGCTTTTATGTAATAGTGCACTAAAAAGTAGAAAATAAATTATACTCTACTATTTAAATTACTATAAAGAAAAGCGTGGGTCTTTTCCTAAATAATAGTAAAGATATCCAAAAGATACTAAAGTGACCCACGCTTTTCTTTATAGTTATTCAAATCAAAGTGTATAATTTATTTTCTACTTTTTAGTGCATTATTACATAAAAGCATGTTATTAAAATGTTTTTTATGAATTTTTTTTATATATTAAGACAGGGGTCGGCAACCTTTTGAGATGAAAGAGCCAAAAGTTACAATTTACAAAATTTCCCAGTTTTTAAAGAGCCACTAACATTACTTTTCCAATATTCTGGTATTTGATTAGAATTGAGTAAATAAATTTAATTGTTTATTTGAAATAAATACCGTTAAATATGAACTAATATTGATTCATAGAAAAACATGTTTTGCACAAAAAAAAGTGATTTAGCTAGCTGCTCTGATTAAGTTAGTTATCAAATAATATAACTATAGGACAATCCCAATCCACTTTAGAAGCCAGTAACTTTGTTTTTTCTTTCTTTACGGACACCACTGGCTGAGGAGGTGTCTCCCATAGCCAAGCAGCCCTCAGCTCTGACTAACTGTCTTAGATATAGGCTTGATTACTGAATCCGTCGCCTCTGTCCTTCGGTTCTCACAGAGCTTATCTTCCACCCTACTTGTTCCCCACAGTCCAGTAAGTGGCTCCACCGTAGGATACTAATAACTAAAATACTTCGGTAGAGGGATGCATTCGGAATAAAATAACATTCCCCATTTAACGAAATTCGAAAAAGTCGGCACTTCAGCAGTGGCAAGAATGGAATAGTCGACATGGGGCTGGCTACAGCACGGCTGTGGGGCTGGGCATGGTGCCAAAGCGGCTGTCAGCTGTCCATTTACTTTCTACCTCACCTATTCTCACTGTTCTCCGATGGTTTTTTTTATCCTATTTAAAGTTGTTTTTCTTTACAGTATAATATTTTTATGAATTTTGAAAATGAAACAATACAACTATTAATCATTGGGCATGGAACTTGAGAGCCGCACCTTGACATCAAAAGAGCAGCATGCGGCTCGCGAGCCACAGGTTGGAGCCACAGGTTGCCGCGAGCCACAGGTTGCCGACCCCTGTATTAGGAAAAGATAGATCTTTTAGATCTGAATTTCCGGAGGCACTATAAATAGAGATTTAATAAGTTATCATAGCATGTGTACATGTAATACACATTGTTATTGTTAAGATAAATGTGTTTTACTTATATAGACTTATAGCTGTTATTTATGATTCTTTGAATTTCAAGAAGCAAAATAAAGTGATTTGACTTTTTAAATTATTACCTCATATATATTTCACAAAGCACTGTAAAACTCAAAATATTGGTCATGGAAACTATAAGATTTGTTGTGATGTAACATCTTAGTTTAAGTATTCAAAGTTGTCTCCCTTACCCATTTTACTCTACCCTCTGACCTTTTGTCATAGGGCAAAGGTGTCCAGCTTCCAGATGGCATTGTGCTACAAGGTTTTAATGTACATCTAAAGACCATGGGGATGTCTAGACACATGATCACTGTGCATGGCCGGTTTGATGATATAAAGGTGGGTAATTGTCAGATGACATCAAGGTGGGTAATTGTCAGATGACATCAAGGTGGGTAATTGTTAGATGACATCAAGGTGGGTAATTGTCAGATGACATCAAGGTGGGTAATTGTTAGATGACATAAAGGTGGGTAATTGTCAGATGACATAAAGGTGGGTAATTGTTAGATGACGTCAAGGTGGGTAATTATCAGATGGCATCAAGGTGGGTAATTGTCAGATGACATCAAGGTGGGTAATTGTCAGATGACATCAAGGTGGGTAATTGTCAGATGACATCAAGGTGGGTTATTGTCAGATGACGTCAAGGTGGGTAATTGTCAGATGACGTCAAGGTGGGTAATTGTCAGATGACATAAAGGTGGGTAATTGTTAGATGACATCAAGGTGGGTAATTGTCAGATGACGTCAAGGTGGGTAATTGTCGGATGACATCAAGGTGGGTAATTGTCAGATGACATCAAGGTGGGTAATTGTCAGATGACGTCAAGGTGGGTAATTGTCAGATGACATAAAGGTGGGTAATTGTTAGATGACATAAAGGTGGGTAATTGTCAGATGACATAAAGGTGGGTAATTGTCAGATGACATCAAGGTAGGTAATTGTCAGATGACATAAAGGTGGGTAATTGTCAGATGACATCAAGGTGGGTAATTGTCAGATGACGTAAAGGTGGGTAGTTGTTAGATGACATCAAGGTGCGTCTATAACTGATGACATTTCATTGGTTAAATTATAAGATTATTAACCCATTGAAGTGTTTAATTGTTAAATGTCATCAAGGTGTGTCTATAACTGATAACATTTCATTGTTTAACTATTAAATTATAAGATTATTAACCCATTAAGGTGTGTAATTTTTAGTTGACATTAAGGTTATCTAAAACTGATGATATTTCATTGTTTAACCTTTAACTCAATAGATCATTAACCCATTAAGAGTGTGTAACTCTCAGATGACATCAAGGTGTGTCCATACATAAGCCTAACCAATAGCATTTCATTGTGTAACCATTAAATCATAGGAATACTGAACAAAATCTCAAGCCCTATTTAGGGGTTTGGTCAGTAGAGCCGTCCAAAAATCAACCCAGCTATGATAGGTCAATGACTTCAGTCATGAAAACTAAAGGCTCTGAGCTGTACTTTATCTGCCCCATGGATCTTCTGGTCTGAGGGTTACTTACTTACCTTTTAGATGCTGTTTAGTTGTGTGTAAATGTTAAATGCCATTTTAAGTGTGTGCTGCACATAACCAATACAACTTTTCAAAGATGAGTTTATTCCTACTTAAATTTCAGAGCAAATAAATTAAAAAAAAAAATAACAATTTTGTTGGGCTGTTTTCATAGCATCAACACCAGGGGGAATAGATCTGAGTTATGTCCCTTACCCCCAAACTACTACTCCTAAGTAATGTTGAGAAAAAAATTTAAAGCTAATTATGACTGAACCCTATAGTTTTTAATAATGTGACTAGAATAATATGACTATCAATAGTGTATGAATAATTTAAGCGAATTACATCTAATGATGATGAATGAATAATTTAAGTGAATTACATCTAATGATAGTGAATGAATAATTTAAGCGAATTACATCTAATGATAGTGAATGAATAATTTAAGTGAATTACATCTAATGATAGTGAATGAATAATTTAAGTGAATTACATCTAATGATAGTGAATGAATAATTTAAGTGAATTACATCTAATGATAGTGAATAAATAATTTAAGTGAATTACATCTAATGATAGTGAATGAATAATTTAAGTGAATTACATATAATGATAGTGAATGAACTCTTTAACTGAACTACCTTTACTAATGCTGTATGACTACTTGAACTAAACTAGTTTAATGATTGAGTAATAATAAATTTAAATAGCTACATGTAATAGCAGTGTATAAATAATTTAGCTGATCTATGTGTAATGATGCTGTTTTGCCTATTTGAATTAACCTATATCTAATGATGGTGTTTGTCTATTTGAACTGAATTACGTCTAATGATGGAGTATAAATACTTCAACTGAACCACGTCTAATGCTGGTGTTTGACTGCTTTAACTGAAGTACACCTAATGCTGGTGTTTGACTGCTTTAACTGAAGTACACCTAATGCTGGTGTTTGACTGCTTTAACTGAACTACACCTAATGCTGGTGTCTACTTAAACTGAACTATGTCTAATGCGGGTGTTTGACCATATTTCAGGGACCAACCTGGAAGAGCATGAGCACATTCTGCAACCAGCCGTGGCTTGTGCTGCTGGACAGGACTGGCATCACTAGGGAGGAGCTGTGGGAGAGTAACATGGTAGGTGGGGGTGGGGGGGGGGGGGGGAGTAACATGGTAGGTGGGGGGGGGGGGAGTAACATGGTAGGTGGGGGGGGGGGAGTAACATGGTAGGTGGGGGGGGGAGTAACATGGTAGGTGGGGGGTGGGGGGGTGGAGCTGTGGGAGAGTAACATGGTAGGTGGGGGGTGGGGGGGGAGAGTAACATGGTAGGTGGGGGGTGGGGGGGAGAGTAACATGGTAGGTGGGGGGGAGAGTGACATGGTAGGTGGGGGTGGGGGAGAGTGACATGGTAGGTGGGGGGTTTGGGAGAGTGACATGGTAGGTGGGGGGTGTGGGAGAGTAACATGGTAGGTGGGGGGGGAGAGTGACATGGTAGGTGGGGGGGGAGGGGAGAGTAACATGGTAGGTGGGAGGTGTGGGAGAGTAACATGGTAGGTGGGGTGGGGAAGAGTAACATGGTAGGTGGGGGGGGGGGGAGAGTGACATGGTAGGTGGGGGAGAGTGACATGGTAGGTGGGGGGAGTGGGAGAGTGACATGGTAGGTGGGGGGTGGGGGGGAGTAACATGGTAGGTGGGGGGGGGGAGTAACGTGGGGGTGGGGGGGTGGAGCTGTGGGAGAGTAACATGATGGGGATTGTGGGAGAGTAACAGTAGGTGGGGGGGGGGGTGTGAGAGTCACATAGTAGGTGGGGGGATAGCTGTGGGAGAATTACATGATAGGTGGGGGGGGGAGAGTTACATGGTATGTGGAGGGGGGGTGGGAGAGTAACATAGTAGGTGGGGGGGGAGGTCTGGATACATGGTAGGTGGGGGGGGGATAGCTGTGGGAAAGTAACATGGTAAATGGGGGGGGGGAGGTGAATGTTAGTTCATTCAGTGTGCTAGTAATGAATTTAGATGGGTCCAGTTTTAACAGGGTAATCAATTTAGCTGGGTACTAATTTCAGCTGGGTACTAGTTTAGCTAGGTACTAGTTTAAGCTGGGTACTAGTTTTAGCTGGATAATTTTTTTTTCTTTAGCTCGGACTAGTTTTTCCTGGGTATGATTTTAGCTGGGTACTAGTTTTAGCTGGGTAATGAATTTAGCTGGGTAATGAATTTAGCTGGATATTCATTGTAATGGGGTAATGAATTAAGCTTATTGTCTCCCTTCCCCATACACACACCCAGATTCAAATCTATTCAAAACATTAATTCTTGCTGCCAGTGTCTTTATATATAGAGTCAATCTATCTATATGGCCCTTAATGGTAATTCTCACCTCAACTGACCTAACCCGCTAATTTGTGTCCAGCATCTTACTCTATTCTCCAGGCTGATGACCTACAGACCATCTTGACCGCCAAGCTGTTTCCTGTGTTTCACATCTCTGAACTGGTGGGGCTTAAGGAAATCTTGTGGCTGATGGGGACTGTGCATGATGACAAGGACAGAACCATTTTAAAGAGGTTACAAGCCTGTACCTGTCTTTAGATGTGGTCTGCAGAAGTTCTAGCTTTTAAATACCTTAAGTTAAAGTTCAAATGTCAAGACCTAGTAAAATGTAAAATAACTTATCAAACCTAAGGGCATTGTAGAGCTTATTTGAATTTTACATTTTCTGCATATGAAATAATTGTGTAGTTAGTACTGTGCCTCAATTAGACAGTGTGGCCTAGCTGTACAGATAGACGAGCTAACCTGAAAGTCCACCCAGCACTGATGGATACCTAACTCACGTTAGGGAATATAAAGGCGGCTGGGTATAGTGTTAACCACACTATCGCTTCATATGCCGAGGTCACAGAAACAGGTGAACTCTACTTCACTTGCCCCATGGGCTGTCGGGTTCGAATAGGGAACTTTACTTTTTACTTAGCCCCAGCTGCCTTTACTTTCCCAGACAAGTCAGGTGTCCCTCTTGGACCCCAGGACCAAGTCTGGAAACTTCAACTGGGATCAAGTAATAAGTAACTTACACAGCCCATAGTGATTTGACCATAGTGATTTGATCATAGTGATCTGCCCATAGTGATCTACCCATAGTGATTTGATCATAGTGATCTACCCATAGTGATCTACCCATAGTGATCTACCCATAGTGATTTGATCATAGTGATCTGCCCATAGTGATCTACCCATAGTGATTTGATCATAGTGATCTACCCATAGTGATCTACCCATAGTGATCTACCCATAGTGATCTACCCATAGTGATCTACCCATAGTGATCTACCCATAGAGATCTACCCATAGTGATCTACCCATACTGATCAACCCATAGTGATCTACCCATAGTGATCTACCCATAGTGATCTACCCATAGTGATCTACCCATAGAGATCTACCCATAGTGATCTACCCATACTGATCAACCCATAGTGATCTACCCATAGAGATCTACCCATAGTGATCTACCCATACTGATCAACCCATAGTGATCTACCCATAGTGATCTGCCCATAGTAATCTACCCATACTGTTCTACCCATAGGGATCTACCCATACTAATCTAACCATAGTGATCTACCCATACTGTTCTAACCATACTGATCTACCCATACTGATCTACACACCCATAGTGATCTACCCAAAGTACTTGTAATAGTTCTCTGTTGTCACCCCCCTTCCACTATTGTTTACATCTTGTGTGGTCAATTTATTTTCTCTTTGTTCAGGTGGCGAGAGAGTTGGAGAATTTCTTTGTCAGATATTTTATCACATACTGATGTGGAGACAGAGTTTGCATGGAAAAGGTTTGTAAAGAAGGCAGTTTGGCCAATACTGTGACATGTTACTAAATGCTTGACTCTTACAATGGCAAGTTACTGAACACTTGGTCTTTATAGTGACAAGTTACTGAACACTTAGCCCCTGTAGTGACAAATTACTGAGCACGTGACCCATACAGCCACAATTTCTAAGACCTGTTTTCTGATAAGTTACAGAATAACTGTTAAAAAATAAATTATTGCTGATTTAAATTCAATATATTTGGGTTCGTTTATGTCTTTATGATAAAACTTTTTTTTTTCTATAATGCACTAAAATATGTATGAATCAAAAGGTGTAAGCGCAACATTAAAAAAATTAAGATACCCAAAAATTGCTAATTTGACAAAAAAAGTTAACCATCAAACCCTTTTTTTTTTAATCAACAATTGTTTATTAATTTTTAAAAATATGCCTTTACTTTGTCTTAGAAAAAAACATGTCATTCTTTTTTTCCATAGTGCTATGTTTCCTAACACTTAGTTTCATTGTAGCAGGTTGATAGTACAGTAAAACCACATTTTTATTTGTTCTCAGAAAACTGTTTTTCACTGTTGGTGAGCAGCACTTGAAGAAGACCTTACAATGTCAAGGTCACCTAGGCTTCTGTAGTCTCTACAACAGTGCTAGTGTTGAGGGCTACACAGGGGCAATTTTTAGTGTCTTGGACAAAGGTAAGTTTATTTTACTGAGCTTTATTTGCACTTTGGCTCATGTTAAAGAAGTTTTCTTGTTTTATAAAGTTAATCTTTTTATTTTTACAGCAAGTTCATGCCAAAAATAATAGTTTTATAAATATAAAACTAATTTATTTCAGTAGAGCTAAAGTACACATAGAAAAAGAACTGGAATTATCCAGTTTTTTTGTCACTCATTAGGACTTTATGTTCATAGCATGGATGAAGTAGAGTTCACCTGTTTTTCTGTTACCTCAGCATATGAAGGAATTGTAGGGTAAATTCTTTGCAAATGCCACCTTTGCATTCCTTAACATGAGTCAGGTACCCTTCTAAGCTGGGCAGTATCATCAATGTCCATGAACTTGAGTCCAGGAACCACATTTCAGGCTAGCACTTATGCACTGTACAGCTAGACTACCTAGTTTATCAAACCATTTTCCAACTACCCAAATAGCAAACTGTTTTTAATCTATCTCTAAGCTTTTTAATATGTTACACATGTATACTGTTTCCAAACTTCAAATTTCTCATAGCTAGACTAATTTATTTGCAGGTTGAGTTGTTTGTTGTATAAATTTGTGTTTATGTTTGTCAGTGGCTGGCGAGACGACATCACCAGGTATAGCAGCACGTACACTAGCCAACATAGCTGACATGCTGGGTGGGATGGCTGGTACACAGGGCGGGCTCAGGAGTGGACCTGCTGGAAATATGGCGTGGAAGAAAGCATTCTCTTATCTAGAGGTGGGCGCAGCTGTTAAACATTGTGTCACAGTAAACGATTGAAACTAAAAGTTGATTTCATGTTTAGTAACATTACAAAATTTACTTAAAATAGTTTTGATGCTACTGGATCTAAGTATTATTGCTTAATTCTAGAAATTTCTGTTGTTTCATATTATAAAATTAAAATATATTTCAACTATATATATATATATATATATATATATATATATATATATATATATATATATATATATATATATATATTTTTATATATATATATATATATATATATATATATATATATATATATATATATATATATATATATATATATATATATATATATATATATAGTTTAATTAAAGTCTACAGTACAGTATATATATTGTTAAATTAAAGTCTAGTAGCTTTATGATTATTTTTCAATGCTGTAGTAACTTTTGTTTGTACTATCATGAGATAAAATTTGAGCTAAAAATGTGCTCCATATTTCAGGCTGGAAACTTTGCTCAAGGAGTGGCTGCTATGGCTAAGGAACGTGAAAAGTGGATGGGTCGACCTGACCTGTTAATCAGAGCTGCACGTCATTACGAGGGGGCAGCCCAGATACTCATTAGACAGGCTGTTATGACAGCCAAAAAGGTTTCCGCACATTTCTTTATAATATTAAACCCTCAGGCTGGTTCTTGAACATATCTTATTCTAGATGGTGTCCTTGGTGTAAAGTTAGCCCTACATAATTTTCTTGATACTGTTCTTTTAACAAATGCTGTTATTTTCCAAAGGTATATATTGATATCCCTACAAAATAACAATGTGTTTGGTGGTATGATAATCGCGGTTATGATATGTTTTTATCAGTTGAGAAATGTAGCTTAACTTTATACTAGTTTTATTTTATTTTTGGATACTTTCAGTTTTTCAGTACAACTGATGCTGCTCTCCCTTTGATGAACAAATGGATACAAGCAGACTGTCCAGCCCGTATAGATATATCAGGTGGTTGGTCGGATACGCCACCAATCACGTACGAACATGGTGGTGTTGTCACTATGGTGGGACTGCTGGTTAACGGAAAAGTAAAAATTTATTATTCTAGTTTTAAAAAAATTAAAAATAGTCTTCGATTATTTTTTATTTAAATTTTAGGCAGTGCAACTCATTAATTAACTAGATTGAGGTATGGTTTGTTTTTGCTTAGTTGTCATCAGTTCTTTTTTTTGAGTGTTGGTCATTGAGTATTACTTATTAAAAATTATTTTTTCTATTATTTACTCTATCAATCTTTTATTTTCTCTAAGTATATACATAAAAAATTATTTTTTCCTTAGAGACCAATTGGAGCAAGAGCAAGAAGAATCAGAGAGTAAGTTTCTTCATCTTTTATATTCCTCTTACATTTTCTTCTTGTGCTTGGGACTGCATGGTCAACTCACAACTGTTAATCCAGATTAAGTTTGGTTCCTGAGCTTGATTCTATATAATGTTTCTGCGTCTACTGTTAAAGCTTTTCCAAAATTAAAAGCAATTAAAAGAACACATAATTTCATCTTTTTATTCTCTGCCTTTAGGCCACGGGTCGGCAACCTGCGGCTCGCGAGCCGCATGCGGCTCTTTTTATGTCAAGATGCGGCTCTTCAGCTCCATGCACAAATATTGATAATTATTTTAATTTATTTTTAAAACTCATAAAAAATATTAGTCTGCAATACTCGGTAATTAAAGATTTAGATCTAATAACAATGTAAAGTTTCTAATTTCGAGCAGAGCTTACTAAACTACTTTAATATGTTTTGTGCAAAACGTGTGTTTTTATATGAATAAATATTATTTCATATTTTAAGCTATTTATTTTAAATGTAATATATATATATATATATATATGTATATATATATATATATATATATATATATATATATATATATATATATATATATATATATATATATATATATATATGTTACGGTCAAAGCCCGAAGTCGGCCAATGCTAGGATTGGCCGGCCAATCCGCGCATTGGCCAATATCGCCTCCCATAGGTCGGTCAAAGTCCGAAACTTTGCTTGATTTCGGCCTTTGGCCGGCCAATCCGCAGACTGGCCATGGTGGACCGGCCAAAGTCTTAATTAGAAGATCATCTGGCTAGGGATGACCGGCCAAAGTCCGAATTAGAAGATCATGAGCAGATTTTGTTTTTTTTTAATGGCGTAAGGATCATGAAATTAAGTATTTATTGATTATTAATAAAAGTAAATGACAGAAACATTCAAATTTTTTATTGTACTATAGTCTCAATCTATCAATATCATCATTTGTTACAACAAGTTGAACTTTTATGGCATTTAGCAGCTTGTTATTTTTACACTTGCAGCGATTTGTTGTGCACTTAGTTGTGCAATTGCAGCGAGTGTAGCATTGGCCCCCATTCAATGATTGTGAAGATGCGATGGTTCGTAGTGATTTTTCCTCAGTGCCAACTGACGACAATAAGAGCAGTTTTTCGTGAAGAATTGAAAACTCACTTCTAGCATACAGTTGTTTTAGAACACCATGTTCCGCTCCTAATTTGTAGAAACCGCCCTCGACGCTCATGACAACTGCAATCACGCTTCGCGGATCACCGTGACCTCTGTCAACATCTGGAAAACGAATGCGTACATTGTCATCCACTTCACCATCTTTAAATTTTGTATTTGATGTTTTAAGCATCTTAGCACCTTGAGTTTGCAAGCCAGTATGAGCTGCTGATCTGTGTTCCATGATGTCTTGTTTGTTGTGTCACAATCTGCAGGTAATGTTCCCTCCGTACCCTTCGTCTGCTTCATTGGGTATTCCACAAATAGCATGGACATCGTTGCCACAGGATCCAAAAGAATGAGCTGCATTACAATGTTTTTCACAAACTATGCAGAATCTGTTGGCCACATTATTGTCACGCATCTGGTCTGGGCGTTCCGCCACGGCAGTAGATGTGTGAGCTGAGGATGTCGTTGCATTTATGGCAACCTCCATTTCTTGTTCAATGTTCTCAAGATCTTCCTCAGTTATAATTTTATCGAGAGCCCATATATGGAAACTAACATGGATTTATATTTTTTTTTCTTTTGACAGCCATCTGCTATGTCTGTCTCATGATCTGACGGCCCTTTTGATCCATGTCGCCTTGCATATAGAATGCTATACAAACAAGAGCTGAACAATACGTTACTCTCAATGAAAACGCACCCAGAATAATGAAAATGCGATCACAACTTAGTCTAGATAGAACATTGGCCAGGACATCCCGGCCAGTGCGCGCATTGGCCGGCCAATGTACAAAATACGCTGTCAAGTTTAAGCGCTTCGGACTTTGGCCAGTACGTCCTGGCCAGTGCGCGCATTGGCCGGCCAATGTACGAAATACGATCTTAGTGCTAAGTTCTTCGGCCTTTGGCCAAGAGAGCCGGCCAATCCGCGGATTGGCCGGCCAATCCTAGCTTTGGCCGCACTTCGGGCTTTGACCGTAACATATATATATACCTAATCAAATATCATAAAATTGAAATAAAAGTGTTTGTGGCTCTTTAAAAACTGTGAAATGTGGTAAATTGTAACTTTTGGCTCTTCTGTCCCAAAAGGTTGCCGACCCCTGCTTTAGGCCAATGTTCAAGCTGACCATTTGTACACTTTTATTATTATACCTTTTCCAAAATTAAAACAATACAACAATCACATAATTAGATCTGATTTAATCCTCCGTTTATAGGCGAATGTTCAAGCTGACCATCCCAGATTTTTTTACACTTTTATTATAGTAGCAGTAGAGTTCACTTGTTTCTGTGACCTATACATATGAAGAGATAGTATGGTCAGCAGTATGCCCAGCCACCTTTACTTACCTTTACTTGAGTAAGGTACCCATCAGAGCTGGGTGGACTCAGGGACAGTATACTGACTTGAACCCAGATTCAAACTTGAGACTTACTGGTTAGCTGTCCAACTCTCTACCATTAGGCTACTCCATCCTTTACACTTTTATTACAGCTTTTCCAAATTTAAAGCAATATAACAACACAATTTGATCTGATTTAATCCTGTGTATAGGCCAATGTTTAAGCTGACCGTCCTAGACGAGCATGCGGCAGACATAAACGTGGAGTGCCACCATTTGGCTGACCTGGAGGATTACTGTCAGCCGCATGCCCCGGGGTCCCTGCTCAAAGCCGCCATTGTGTGTGTGGACCTGGTGGACATCCACTCATCCACACCACTCTCCCAGCAGCTCATGGATACCTATGGCAGTGGGTTTGAGATCCAGTCCTGGTCCAACCTGCCCCATGGCTCAGGTACATCACAGTGTAGAAGGGGAAGTAATCTACCTTTAAGTAATGTAGCTTGCTCAAAAGGGGGAAGTAATGCACCTTGTTATAATATTCAAAAGGAACCTAATGTACCTTGTAAGAATTTTTCAAAGAAAGTAATTGTTAGAATATTTAAAGAGGAAGTAATGTACCTTGTTTAAATGTTCTAAGAGAAAATAAAAATGTGTGACATTGTTCGGATTTGACTATCACTGTAGAATATTTAAAGAGGAAGTAATTTACTCTTTTAATACCTGCTTATTGATAGACCATGGCGATTGAAGTAGAGATCACATATTTCTTTGACAGCATATTAAAGAATTGTGTTGTCAGCGTTACGCTTGAATGCCTTTACTTTCCCTGACTTAAGTCAGGTATCCACCAGAGATGGGAGACCTCAAACGTTGCAGATTGATACTGTGAGCTCTACAGCATGGGGCGACGTGGTCGGATGGTAGCGCATACCCCTGTTAACCCAAAAGTCTTGAGTTGATGGATACCCATGGGAAATGGACACACATAAATATCATTAAATGTCTGTCAACATTTTTGTATGACCAGTGTCTCTAACCTAGAATATTTGAAACCATTCTTCTAGTGATATAACCCTAACCCCAACCTATGGTAACATACAGTATGTATAGCCAGCATATATTTTAAGTATATTTTCTCACTATTGTCGTACCATTTATTCAGTTGTTTTAGGACATGCCTCATCTAGTGAATGTTAAGAGAGAACATATTATCACATACTTCCTGTATCCCCCAGGTATGGGCACCAGTTCCATCCTTGCTGGAGCTGTCTTAGCAGCTGTACTCAGTGCTGCAGGGAAAGGATTTGACACAAAAGGTCTTGTGCATGCAGTGAGTTGTCTTTCATTGTTGCTGGTTGTCCCCCATTTTTAAGATTATTTCTGTCTATGGTTACTGTGCTGTTTGTTAAATTTGGGTACTTTTATATTTCATTGTGGGTTGCCTCCCATGTTAAGACTATTTTCATTTTTAGTTCTAAATTTAAATTTTGTGTGGTGTGCTGTTTATTATATGATTAATTTAAAAAAAAAAAAAAAACCTGTTTATGATAGCTAAAACAAGTTGGAATGTAAAGAGTTAGGGTGCCTTGTGAAATATATAGACTTATCATGGTTGTACTGTTGGTTACCTGTGTAATATTTACAACTGCTATAAACACAGGTGTAATTTTGACTGTTTCCCTCACCAGGTGCTATATCTAGAACAGCTGCTGACCACAGGTGGTGGCTGGCAGGACCAGATAGGTGGGCTGATAGGTGGGATCAGGCTAGGTCTGTCAGAGGCCAAGCTGCCCCTGCAGGTGGACGTGGTGGACCTTCAAGTGAGGAGAGAGTACGTTGAGAAGTTCACTGATCACCTGGTGCTCATCTACACAGGCAAGACCAGGCTGGCTAGAAACTTGCTGCAGGTAAAAGTTTAAGGTTAATCTTCTACAGGTAAAACCTGGCAATGTTTAATCTTAATCTTCTACAGGTAAACCTAGCAATGTTTAATCTTAATCTTTTACAGGTAAATCTGGCAATGTTTAATGTTAATCTTTTACAGGTAAACCTGGCAATGTTTAATATTAATCTTTTACAGGTAAATCTGGCAATGTTTAATGTTAATCTTTTACAGGTAAACCTGGCAATGTTTAATGTTAATCTTTTACAGGTAAACCTAGCAATGTTTAATCTTAATCTTTTACAGGTAAACCTGGCAATGTTTAATGTTAATCTTTTACAGGTAAACCTGGCAATGTTTAATATTAATCTTTTACAGGTAAATCTGGCAATGTTTAATGTTAATCTTTTACAGGTAAACCTGGCAATGTTTAATGTTAATCTTTTACAGGTAAACCTGGCAATGTTTAATGTTAATCTTTTACAGGTAAACCTGGCAATGTTTAATATTAATCTTTTACAGGTAAATCTGGCAATGTTTAATGTTAATCTTTTACAGGTAAACCTGGCAATGTTTAATGTTAATCTTTTACAGGTAAACCTGGCAATGTTTAATGTTAATCTTTTACAGGTAAACCTGGCAATGTTTAATGTTAATCTTCTACTGGTAAACCTGGGAATGTGTAATGTTTATTTCTTATGGGTAAACATGGCAAGGGTTAGTGTTAAATGTCCTATATGTAATAGTTTTCTCACAAACTACACAAGTTGCAAAATGTTCATTATTGAGAACATTATAGAATTATAATTTTTGGTGATTTGTGCCGTGGTGGGCTTGGATCTATGCTAAAACTGTTTTCTCTTTACATGGACTATATTCTGTGCTTGTGCCTACCTTTGGCGTTAAATAACACTTTATTTCAATATTGCTGTTTTTGTAACAACGCCTGCTTCCTACCCTTCTGCTATATATTCACACAAGGAAGCTACTATTTGTCTGAGTGATCATCCATGTCTGTCTGTGTCACTTATTCAGTACAAATTTAAGTCCATTGTTGTGTTTCAAAGGCCTGTGTTCTGTCTTTACAATGACTATATTCTCTACCTGTGTCAACTTTAGTTTTGAAATAAAACTTAATGTAAATATTGGTAGAGTTAAAGTATTGTAACTTAAAGCCAAGATTCAGTCTGCTATACCTACCTGATTGTCTATCACTCTATTTTTCACCATAATGCAACAGTACCAATGCAACAAATTCAATATTACTTTTAACTTTTTCGTTATCCATTACTCCACCAACTCATTCTCAATATGTTAAGGTATTCTGGCTTGGGAAAAACAGTCCAAAATAAATACCTTAGTGTGTTCAGAATAAAAATATATAGATAATTGTTTTAAATACTATTTTGTTCATGCTGGTTAATAATATATAAAAACATTTTTCCAGGATGTGGTCAGAAACTGGTACGCAAGAAATCCTTTTATTGTCCAGACTGAGGATTCCCTTGTGGTTCTGGCTCAAGAATGTGCCCACGGTGTCATGGATGGTATATAAACACTTGTTTCTACTCTAGCATACTTGTTAAGTCATGATATGAACTACCTCCATCCATCCCATAAGGTTGCGGTATCAGTAAAAAATATGTCCACTTTGATATATGCTGCTAGAAATCATCATAGTATCATCCTGAAAATGTGTTGATGTAAATTTTCAAACACCATTTTTAAATTATTTAAAAAATTTTGCGCAGGTGATCTGGAAAAAGTTGGCAGCTGTGTCAGACGGTACTGGGAGATGAAGAAGCTGCTGGCACCAGGCTGTGAGTCCACCACCATCGCCTGCATCATGTCCGTGCTCAAACCCTACATGTACGGCATGTGCAGCGCCGGGGCAGGGGGTGGAGGTTTTATTTACGGCATCATGAAGGAGCCCCGCTGTCATTCCTTCATCAAGGAGATTCTGGCACAGCAGGAGGTGCGGCTCTTTATTTGTTTAATGCTTCAAATTTCATTGGTTTAGTTTATGGTTAAATAGTTAAACTATCTTGGGTACACAACTATCAGTGATATTGTATCTATAACTATAAAAGATTTCAAAACAAGGTAGTTATTTTAAGTCTAGTAAATTTAAAGCAAGGAGACAGCATGGCCAAGCGGTAGAGTGCTAGACTGTTAACCCGAAAGTTCAAATCCAGGTTCAAGTCAGTAGAATGTCCCTGAGTTCACCCAGATCTGATGGCACCTAACTCATGTTAGGGAAACAAAGGTGGCTGGTGATAGTGCTGACCACATAATCCCCTTGTATGCCAACGCTGTTGAAACAGATGAATTCTACTTCATCTGCCCCGTGAGTCTTGGGCAAAAATGGGAAAAGATGATTACTGAAATTGAAACGGAAATGGTTTTTCATTTTTTTAATGGTTCAGATATAAAGGGTTTAGTTTCCGGGTAAATAAGTTTTAAAAAAACATGGGCACAAAAACTATCAACAATATCGTGTGAATAAAATAATTGATTAACTCATTTTTTGTGTCACAATTATTTCCAGGGTCTTGAAGCTGTGGTGTATGATGCCTGTGTTGATGAGAATGGTCTAACCATCACACTGGAGGAATAAAATCAGCTCCATCTTTGCCCTGGAAGTCATTTGAAAATGATTGAACACAAATTTTTTAGAGTGTTATTTAAATATTGCAGTATTTTGAAAAAAAATGTTGATGAGAACAAATATGTATATAGCTGGTTTTGCAGTATTTTAGAAAATGCCATGAAAAAAAAGCCAAAAATGTATGTAAGTTTAGCGATATTGTTGGAAAATGGGGATGCTGTCAACTAGTGATAGAGCCAGAGATTGCTGACCAGATTTATGTGTCTTTTCCTTAGCCGAGGTCACTAGCCACACCTAGCTATGATAGCTATATGAACTCTTCTTGATCTGACACACTCATGTTCATGTTTAGAAAGAATCTTACTTTATATACATTGATATATTTTAGAAACTTTGCAATTCTTCAATCAGATGATATTTAAAAAAAAAACATCCATATTATTACATTAACAAATAATTTAATGTAGAAATGAAAAGATATTTTTACTGTTATGTATTGCCTTTTGATAGCAGAAATATGCATTGGGCTGTGTCTTTCTCAAAGTGCACTTGACACTGTGTGATAAACCATTTTTTTAAAGTGCTAAAAGGTGCAGGGGAAAATGTTTGTGTAAACAAAAGGTCAGAACCTTTGATCAAAACACATTTTGTGTAGTTTACAACATGAAAGATTTTGTCCTGTATGGTTGTATGTTGTTTATGAGAGGAAACATATTTGTATGTATAGTTCATTAGTCTTCTCTGTATGCAATTGTTCATTAATGGGATTCACTTTTTATGTCACCTAACTTAACAAATGTATTGATAATAAACTAGGCTTCTTTTTATTTTTATTAGAAATTGAATTAACTTAAATTTGTTGATTGTGGTTTTTGGTCATAATGAGCAATAAAAATGGAGATAGTGTCTACACTTAGGGTTTACCTATGTATTTGTACATTAGAGATTTAACTCAGATGAGGAGTGTGGGGTTTATTTGTTATAAGAAATACAATGTCTGGAGATATTTACTAAAGGCCTAATGATTTTTTTAAACATTTATTTTTACATTGAAGTTTGTAGTAACAAACATTAATATAAAATATAGAGGAAGTCTATATTGAAAAGTTACAGGTTTTGTTTTATATGAGATTTTGTATTCAGTTTTATTGCAGTTTAGAAACAAAATTCTTCTTATACACTATATACTTTTTCAGCTTTTTTTTTGTCTGCCACTATATTTTTATTTCTAGTTGTGTGCTTGAATGTTAGATTAACCATTAGGCTACGGAATTTTTCTGGACAAACCCTTAAGTTAATTAATCCACTGCCGTAGGGCTTTGTGTGTTTCTACAACTTGATTAACTTAGATTTTTTATTAGTTTTTTTTTTTTAAAATTTAAAATATTATAATTTAAAAGAACAACATTGGAAAAAACTTGAAGCCAGGGAATGGCCAAAAGATTCTATTGGCCTCATGAGACCAGACTGGGCTCAAAGACTTAAGTGGTTGTCATCACCTCCTGGCATTGGTTTAAAGTGATTCTCTGTATTCTGTATTCCACAAGTTCATTATAATTCACATTTTTTAATGAATTTAAAACCTTGCTATTTTAGAGCCAAGTGATTTTGTTTTAGAAGTTTTGTATTTTTTACATTTGTACTACTTTACTTGTGGGAAATTATATTTATAAGGTATCAACAAATAAGGTGAAGAACTTGGTTTACTTATTCATTTATGAAAAATGTTTATTTGCTTTATTTATTATACGTTGGCACTACAAAAATGTTTGCTTTGTGCAATTAGCTGCATGCTTTTTTTGCTTCATACTTTTGATGCTCACTTTGTGTTTTGTTTTAAAGATCTTTATTTTCAACGCCAAATAAAAATATTTATTTTAACTGTTAGCAGTTTTGGACTTTTTATTGCATTGAAAGGAAAATGTGAATGTGTTGGTTTTGGGCCTACATGACCAATATTGTTTGCATATATTTGCACAGTAGCTTTATCAACCATATTTTTTAGTTAGTCTAAAAGGGTCAACCTTAAATAATGTTACAGTTTTTAAAATGAATTTCACCTACCATCCCAACAAATCATTACTCAAATAACCCCCCCCCCCCCAATCAGCCTACTCCATCAATAAATTGGATATGTTTTCAAAACAATTTTTTTCTTAGCTATTAACAGAGCAAGGTCACCATTGGGTTTATTGATCACCTTTTATTACATTTACAAAAAGTATTGAAAAATGTTAAATAACTGCTAAAATTCTATTTAGAAATCTACATTCTGAAATGTAGTAAAAGTGTATGTTACACTTTCTGACCCCCCCCCCTCCCTATTGGGGAAGGGGGGGGGGGATTGGAGATGGTTCAAACTTTTTAAAATTATTAGCCTAAATATTATAGTTATAGGCCTAAATATATTTATATAAATACATTTTCCATTACAATTTTTAGATGTATATATATTTGGTTGCATGAAATGAATTATTACTAATTTTAGATTTAGACTATTACATATCGCATATATGCATTTTTTAAAAATTCAATGGGAGTTAATGATTTTTAAAGAAATAAACATATCTTGATATAAGACTAGCCTATGCTTTTTCTTTCTACCTTCCCTTCACCACCAAGTGAGAAAAGGGGAGGTAACAGCTTTAAAAATATCCGAAATTTCGTGTTTCGTTTTTAGATCAATATTTTTATAATCCCAAAGGACTGGAGGAGATAACTCTCATGTTTTAACAGTTCTAACAACGTCAACAATCTTTTTTTCACGTATAAACTGTAAACGAGTAACTGAAATTCTGAATAATACTCTTAAAAAGCATTCTAGTTATTTTACAACTCTGAATAATGGTATGTAGCTTATAGTATTGTATATTTGTTATATTATACTAAATTATAGAGTGTTTTGAAGCTGAGCTGTCTCAAGTCTCACAACTAACTCAACTCAAAAATGTCTGAGTCAGTCTCAGTTTGGCTTTTTTTTTTCTTCTAACTTTTATAATTTATAGGCCTATCTAAATAAATCTATTTACTTTTTAGAATCTAGATCTAGGACTTGAGGTCGATTTTGACAATTTTGTGATGGTCAATACACTTTATTTTTATACTACTACTAGGCATACTGCCTAGCTTCGCTTAGGTTTTTAAATAACATTTGAGAATTTGAATACTTAATTATTTAGCGATGGATTTGGTGTTGAGTGCTTTAATTTAAACAGTAATGCTAACTTTAGAAAAAAAATGTTCTAGTTTGTCATTTAAATACCGTTCCCAGAGAAATATCGGAAAGTACGCAATGTATAAGTAAAATGGAATTAGAACTACACAGCTTCCATGAACAGTACATCTCATAGTTTTTATTACATTGCCTTTTGAAATTTATTTATTTATTTAATTGGGATACGTAACTAAATTAACAACTTAATTTTGTACTAAAACAAATGCTATACTTCGTCATTTTCTGTTTCTGTTTAAAATAGTATACAATTATTTGAAAAATAATAATTTAAAAAACGTTACCTCCCTTGAAAACTGAACGTATGAGGTATGTCTTTGTTTTTTTTTTACAAACAGTTGCTATGCTTATATAAGAAATTACGGTATATGAACATATTTAACAACTATAATGGCTGTTTCCGACGGGATTAAAGTTTTTTTGTTAGCCTCCAGGGTCGGTCTACGACGTCACATAATATTAAGGGGATCGTTCGTCAATTTATTTATATATATATATCTCATATAAGGAGAATTTCACTCAAGATCATCTTTTAGCCCTCGTCGAGGGCTTTGAGTCTGACCAACAGTTTTTCCATACGGCCTAGTCATCTATAGTAGTGTATGCAAAAAATTAGCCAGATATACTGAGCTTAAGTACCCTAAAGTCTGCGTTGAAATGACCCTCTGTTTTTCCCATAAAATACAAAGATTATATAGGGAAATACAACTGGTCAGTTTTGACCGCTTTACGAAGTTTTCCCAGATATGCCGAGTTTTTTGTGACACCCCTAGGTGTTCTTCTACCACCTCACAAAATATCAAGGGGGGTCGTCGGAGGAAATTTTTTTTCGTAATAGAGCTCATATAAAGAGAATTTCACTCGCGGTCACTTTTTAGCCCTCGTCGAGGGCTTTGAGTGTAACCAACAGTTTTCCCTAAAGGTCAAGCCATTGACCTAGGAGCATGCAAAAAATTAGCCAGATATACTGAGCTTAAGTACCCTAAAGTCTGCGTTGAAATGACCCTCTGTTTTTCCCATAAAATACAAAGATTATATAGGGAAATACAACTGGTCAGTTTTGACCGCTTTACGAAGTTTTCCCAGATATGCCGAGTTTTTTGTGACACCCCTAGGTGTTCTTCTACCACCTCACAAAATATCAAGGGGGGTCGTCGGAGGAAATTTTTTTTCGTAATAGAGCTCATATAAAGAGAATTTCACTCGCGGTCACTTTTTAGCCCTCGTCGAGGGCTTTGAGTGTAACCGACAGTTTTCCCTAAAGGTCAAGCCATTGACCTAGGAGCATGCAAAAAATTAGCCAGATGTACTGAGCTTAAGTACCCTAAAGTCTGCGTTGAAATGACCCTCTGTTTTTCCCATAAAATACAAAGATCATATAGGGAAATACAACTGGTCAGTTTTGACCGCTTTACGAAGTTTTCCCAGATATGCCGAGTTTTTTGTGACACCCCTAGGTGTTCTTCTACCACCTCACAAAATATCAAGGGGGGTCGTCGGAGGAAATTTTTTTTCGTAATAGAGCTCATATAAAGAGAATTTCACTCGCGGTCACTTTTTAGCCCTCGTCGAGGGCTTTGAGTGTAACCGACAGTTTTCCCTAAAGGTCAAGCCATTGACCTAGGAGCATGCAAAAAATTAGCCAGATATACTGAGCTTAAGTACCCTAAAGTCTGCGTTGAAATGACCCTCTGTTTTTCCCATAAAATACAAAGATCATATAGGGAAATACAACTGGTCAGTTTTGACCGCTTTACGAAGTTTTCCCAGATATGCCGAGTTTTTTGTGACACCCCTAGGTGTTCTTCTACCACCTCACAAAATATCAAGGGGGGTCGTCGGAGGAAATTTTTTTTCGTAATAGAGCTCATATAAAGAGAATTTCACTCGCGGTCACTTTTTAGCCCTCGTCGAGGGCTTTGAGTGTAACCGACAGTTTTCCCTAAAGGTCAAGCCATTGACCTAGGAGCATGCAAAAAATTAGCCAGATATACTGAGCTTAAGTACCCTAAAGTCTGCGTTGAAAAGACAATCTGTTTTTCCCATAAAATACAAAGATTATATAGGGAAATACGACTGGTCAGTTTTGACCCATTTCCCGATTTTTCCCGGACATGGCGAGTTTTTTGTGACACCCCAAGGCGTTCTCCTACCACCTTACAAAATATCAAGGGGGGTCGTCGGAGGAATTTTTTTTTCGTAATAGAGCTCATATAAAGAGAATTTCACTCGCGGTCACTTTTTAGCCCTCGTCGAGGGCTTTGAGTGTAACCGACAGTTTTCCCTAAAGGTCAAGCCATTGACCTAGGAGCATGCAAAAAATTAGCCAGATATACTGAGCTTAAGTATCCTAAAGTCTGCGTTGAAATGACCCTCTGTTTTTCCCATAAAATACAAAGATTATATAGGGAAATACAACTGGTCAGTTTTGACCCCTTTACGAAGTTTTCCCAGATATGCCGAGTTTTTTGTGACACCCCAAGGTGTTCTCCTACCACCTCACAAAATTTCAAGGGGGGTCGTCGGAGGAAATTTTTTTTCGTAATAGAGCTCAAATAAAGAGAATTTCACTCGCGGTCACTTTTTAGCCCTCGTCGAGGGCTTTGAGTGTAACCGTCAGTTTTCCCTAAAGGTCAAGCCATTGACCTAGGAGCATGCAAAAAATTAGCCAGATATACTGAGCTTAAGTACCCTAAAGTCTGCGTTGAAATGACCCTCTGTTTTTCCCATAAAATACAAAGATTATATAGGGAAATACAACTGGTCAGTTTTGACCCCTTTACAAAGTTTTCCCAGATATGCCGAGTTTTTTGTGACACCCCAAGGTGTTCTCCTACTACCTCACAAAATTTCAAGGGGGGTCGTCGGAGGAATTTTTTTTTCGTAATATAGCCCATATAAGGCGCCGGTCAGTCGAGGTCAGTTTTGACCCCCTCTCCGTAGACTTTTTGCCGAACCGTCACCGGCCCTCGTGTTCTATCGCCATAAGGCACCTTCGTGCCAAATTTGACGCGCCTGCGGCGCCGGGAAGTGCCCTATCGGGCACCCGACCACTTTGCTTTATATATATAGATAATACTTAATACAGTTTTATACAATTATACTAATTTAATTTATACACTAATCATGAATAATGACTCTAGCTAGACTCTAGACTGGACTAGTCTAAGTAATTAATATCTAGATCTAGAAATCTAGATTTTATCTTCTAGATCTAAATATATAAATTTATAATATAGGCCTATACTATATTATATAAGCCTATAATTCATAAAAACAAAAGATCTAGACCTACTCATCTTGTTTTTTAGTATGCACTGCAGTGAAGCTAATGGATATTTATTTAAACTTACATAATTTGAGATATTTTTTTTGTGAGTAGAAGGTGTCTATTTTATCAGTATAAATGTAAATACAAAATAATGATAATATTTTTAGGACTATTCAAAGTTTATGGATGCCAACTTTGATGCTAAAGAATGGGTCAATTCAGCATTCCGCAACCACAAAGACTCAGGAGTTTCCAAAGATGTAAGTAAATTTCTGAGGAATACATTCAAGTGCATTCATAGAAAAAAGTAAATAAATACTTACTTGTAGAATAATGAAAAATTTAAAAAGTCTTAAGGGGTCGGCGTGGTCGAGTCGGTAAAGCTCACGTTTGCTAAAGCAAAAAGCCTCGAGTTCAAACCCTCAGGCAGATGAGGCTTGTTAGCTGGGGACAGCCACTCTTCTAGGAGAGACAACTCCAAAATCAGACAACTGCTGCCTTATAGTTTGTTTTAGGTTGGACAAAGGCTATGGAAGCAAATCCAAAAAGAAAAGCAGGCTGAAATCAGAGTCAATGGCCTATATGGCATAGAACAAGTCAATAGCCTCAATTGCGCATAACCAGTTGACACGTATCCTTAATTGTGATGGTCGAGTTGGCAAAAACTCATGGTTGTTAAATTTGAAACACCTTCCAACACCAAAAATTAAGAACCAAGAAGAAGAAGAAAAAAATGAAAAAGTCTTAACTAATCGTTTCATTAAAGTTTTGTTTAAATTACTTTTTTTAATGATAAATGTTGAATTTGCTGCAATATAACATTTTTAGCACCATTATCATGTTTCAGTAGTATTTAATGTATTTCAGCAATATGCTACAACAATGGTGATGAAGCTGCAAGTTTTCATTCAGGTAATCCTACAAATTAAACTAAAAAATGATTTCATTAACCGTAAATAAATGATCCCGTTATTTTTAAGTTATTTTTTACTGTAACCATTTATAATACTCAACTTTGAGATTCTAATTAAAGGTAGGTTTTTCAGCAGAAAGCTTATGTCTTTAAATGTTCTGAAAACACTTAATTATTATTAAATTACTATCTTTATTAAGCAGATTAACATTTTATTTGTGCCATAAACTCTACCAATACTTTCTATTTTAAAATCATTGTCAGGAAGTAAACAATGTATTGGAAGAAGCCAGTCAACAAGCTCTACAAAATCTACCAAGGTAAAAAATTTATACAATAGTTTTTAGGTCTACAAAATGTTTTACCATATTTTTTTAGAGTTGTTGGTTAGATTAGTTTGTAAAGAAACAGTTTTATTAAATTAATCCATGTCAGATATTAACTATAGTGAAGTCATTCATTACATTAATAAAAATAATTAATGTTGATTAATTTGATAAAGTGTTACAATTATTTTACAATGCCAAGTTCACATTTTTAGAAGCAACAAGATTATATAATACTTGACAATGTTGATATCTACTTTAAGAAACTACCAAAAACAATTTTGAATTACTCTAAATGCTAATCCTAAAAGTGCCCTTTTTTTAACAATTTAAGTTTGAATCAGTTTTTCAAATATTAGTTCTAAAGGGTGGATTAAGATAAATTAGGCAAACAACTTTTATGTATATGTTTTGTAATGTGTTTGATAGAGTGGTGAGGGAGTTAGATGCTGTGAAGCAAGAATCTGTACTTCTTCAAGACCAAATGAGAGTTGTTAAACAACATATTCAGAAGGTGAGTTAAGGGCATTTTTGTTTTAGTGTGTGTGTGTGCAACATGTTCAGAATATGTTGCTACATGGAACAAAGTTTGTGTTGTTTTAATAATCAACTTATTGTTCTAATAATCTAAGCTTTAAAAATATTTTTTTTAACAAACCTCAGTATACACAATTGAGTCTATACGTTTTATAGACTTGTATTTAGATTTGATTTTAATTATATAAAATTATAGGAATTTTAAAAATCCAGTATTTATAACTAAAAAGTACCTGTTGTAACATTATGTTAATGTTTTTTTTTCTTGAGAGATCTAATCTCGAGTTGTTTAATAATTTTGTACATAGGTAGAGCAGGATACATCACAGTCCATGCAAGCCTTGCTCAAGTTAGATGGAATCAAATCACGCATGAAGACTACAGCTGATGCTCTTAAGGTCAGTATCTTCAACAATTTACCAATAATAATTTTCCTGCAAATGGTTAAGGGAGGTAATAAACACATTAGTCTCTAACACAAGACATGTTTGTTGGTTTAACATTTTACACTAAATTTTATTGTTTGATAAAAATAACTGGGCCTTACACTATGGTATTTCATATCCATGTAAACAATAAGTTGTTTTGATTCTTTATTTGTGTACCAGGAGGCAGATAATTGGACAACTCTTAGTGCAGATATAGATGAAGTCTTCCAGTCTCATAACATCGATGAAGTGAGTTGCTGTTCTTGTTAAGTAGCTCTTATATCCACATACATATATGCATAAACAACACAGTAAGTGGATGAAGTCTTGATGTCTAATTTATATCAATATTTTATACAAACATACCTCTAGATACACATTCATGTTATTAAATATTAACACTAAGTAAATATCTACATGGTTTCCTTATCATAAGATTGTAAGCTGTATTGAAACAAGTTATTAAAATGTTTATTTCAGATCACTGACAAGTTATGTGGGATGCAGCAAAGCCTGGTGAGCTGAACACATTTATTTTGAATCAAGTAGTCAGCAAATTAGCTTCTAAGTTCATTAAGAGTGTTGAGAATAGCTCTTTGAATGCGTTATATAGTATATAATAATAAAGCTATTGAATAAATATAATTTTAACAGTAATTACTATTTTTCAAAGTATAATAATTTTTATTTTCTCAAAACATAATGAAGGATAAGAACTTTTCAGTATTATTATTATTAATTACAATATTTAACTCCAGCTATATTTGTAGATCAGAATTATAAAGAAATAGTCATTGAAATAATTTTAATATATGTATAATTTGAGTTGAGAGACGTTTTGTAGCACATGCTTTATAAAAATGTTTTCCCTATGTTTTTAGCTGATGTTGGTGGACACGGCAGACTATGGAGAAAAATGTCTGCAGCTTGAGAAACTGAAGAACAGACTGGAGGCCCTGTTGAGTCCTCAGTTGATTGCTGCGTTTAATGCTCAGTCCCTGGGTTAGTGTGGGTCCATTTTTGTGGGAATCTGTTGTTTGTACATGTATGTTTTTTGAGGAAACACCACTTCTTGACTCAGAATTAAGAACCACTATGTGCTCCACCAATATGTGATGGGGGGTTTATATATATGTATGATACTTCATCTATAATCTATATTCTAAATACTACTATTAACACTGCAACTATTAAACATTTGAAGGAGGATGGGAACACTCTTATTTTTCCGTAGACAATCATATTGACAACTCCGTTCATGAAATAACAATAACTTTATTATCACACACTTATAGATCTATTACACAATATCAAAATACGTCTGTCTTCTACTATGGCTAACCCCCAACTAACTTCACTGCTGCATCCTATGTCATCGGTAAATTGTTACGTCATGCTCACGTCACACTCACATCACAAATATTTTATTATACACACGCACAATACTCTCGCACCAAATCGTGTACCGTCAAGTTCAAACTGTCCTCAGTAACCTCTACTAGTCTAGTTTAATTCTATATATCTACGCTATGACACCTTATATGTTAAGTGTTCACATATTACTGCTGCTCATTTCACCTCCATCTCACATACAAATCCAATAACAATAATAAATTAAGGCATATCCCCCTTTTACTTATAACAAAAAAAATTCATGCAACTTATGTTTATAGTTTCTCAAACACTAGACCCAGCTATGCTGAATCTCAGTACATGTATGGTGTCAGGACATTAACTTGTTTTAGCTGTGTATTGAAATATTCAGCATCACAGTATAGGCTTCTGGTGTGTTTGGTCAAATAGTGTTGTATCTGGTAGTTCTATAGTGACTATTACATTTTTTTAATGACATATTTTCTAATCGTACTTGCGCCTTTTTTTTCTACAGATCAGACTCAAAAGTATGTCAAGATTTTTGAAAGTATAGATCGTCTTCCTCAGCTGTATAAATATTACCATAAGTGTCACAAGGTGAATTTTATTTTTGCACTATTTATGGCGAAGACTGATTATTTTAGAAAGGTTGTGTTTATTAGAGATTTTTGTGCAGAAATTGGTATGTCATAATAAGGAGATTGGTATGTCATTATAAGGAGATTGGTATGTCATTATAAGGAGATTGGTATGTCATTATGAGATGTGTATGTCATTATGAGGAAATTGGTATGTCATTATAAGAACATTGGTATGTCATTACGGGGTGATTAGAAAAAAAATATGGATTGTTTCTTTTGTCCGCAGAACAATTTCCTCCAGAGCTGGAAGACAACTTGGGATTCCAGCCAGACCAAATCTGCTGTGAGTGATCTCTACGACCTGCTGTTGTCAGCATGGCACACCCAGATCAAGTGGTCAGCGCAAGTCTTCCCTGAGCCTGTCTCCATTGTCCTTGACCTCTTGACCCAAACCCTGACATCACTGAGCCCACCTCTTCCTACTGTGTTTAACACATTGGTTGGGGAAAGGGAGAAAACCCTTGATGTTCTTATAGAGCTCAAACAGGTGAACATTTATTGTAGTATAAATTAACTGCTCTCATAATTTATACTACTGTATATCATTTAAGTTAATCTTGTTTGTATTATTTTATTATATATCATGTAATTTTCTTTGATGTTATGATTTTTATAATGTATGTTAAAAATAATAAACCTTTTGTAGTATTAGATTATATAGTTTATGGTGGAGGAAGGGGTCGTAGAAAGTTTATATAATTTTAGGTGTGGTGGCTTATGTAAATGTAAAATAATAACAAAGTGTAGGAAGTGGCTCAGAAATGTCAGATTGTTTTGTTATAGTGCATATGCCCTTATTTCGTTAAGCAAATATAATCAAAACAGTTTTTAACATCTCTTCTTTGTTGTGCCTACTCAGATTTCTGGCAGATTTGCCAAAAATTTAGTTAGTGCTGTTGAAACTTACATACAAGGTAGGTCAAAAAAATTTAAAAGTTATTTTTTTTTTTGTTCCTAAGTTTCAGCATATTTTTCAATTTTGATTTTTTTGTAATTCATATAATAGAATTGTTTTAATCGTTTCTTTGTTTAGATGCAAGTTTTCAACACTCCAGCAGCATCGAGCAGCTGCTTAAAGCTATTTATAGCCCGTACCAGTTGTATACAAACAAGTACCGTATATATGAGGAGGTGGCTCTCACTAAACATCTAGACTCAATTAAGTTGGTCAGTACTAGGTCCATTTAAAATTTTTAATTCAGTTTACTTATTGTTTACTTCTTTAATAATGAATGTTTTCATTTTGAAAAACATATAAATATCACAATCTTCTTCTTCGTTTTTAATTTTTGACCTTGGAAGGGATTCCCTCCAACACAATTAAGTATTACATGTCAACTAGTTCTGTGCCATAAAGGCCATTGACTCTGATTTCAGCCTGCTTTTCTTTTTGGATTTGCTTCCATAGCCTTTTTCCAACCAAAAACAAACTACAAGGCAGCAGTTGTTTGATTTTGGATTTGTCTCTCCTAGTAGATTTGCTGTCCCCAGCTATCGAGGCTCATCTGCCCAGGGGTTCAAACTCAAGATTTTTCTGTTTAGCAACCATGAGCTTTACCGACTCGACAATGCTGATGTAATATAAATAGGAGAAATATAAAAAACTATTTTTTTTCAATTTCAGGATCATGAGGAGGTCATTGACACAGTCCAGCTTTTGGCGGAATCTGTGACCAAGTTTTTCTCTGCCGCAAACTCTGTAAGCCATTTTATGATTACTGTGCTCTTGTAATAGTTCTATAAAGCAGTATGTAGGTTTTTAAGTTTTAAAAGCCGTTTCCACAAAATGTGTTTTTACTTACACCAGGCAAATGAGCGCTGTATAATGTTGACTAATGGCTTCTGTTACTCTGGTCTACTGGATGCTTACAAGGTAATCAAACTAGATAAATTTAAATCAGTTGTGTCTTGTCACCTCAGTTGATTCTGCTGGGATTTTTATCATGTGTAACCAGTCATTTATAGTTTAATGAAAATTTAAAAAATACTTTTGTGTTTACATAAGCACTTAATAGAGTTTATAATATTTATTTATAGACTTTCTTTGTCAGTCAGTTAATCCTCTCTGTGACATCCTAAAGTAACTCTAAAAGTCTTACTAGCTACTATTTTGTTGCCTACTCACTTAATCAGTCCTCTCTGTGGTGGCTTTAGTGTTCCAATTGTTTACTTAGAATTGTTTATTTGTAGACTTACTTTGTTGCCTACACAAGAGAGTTCCGGCGAGTCCTTATCAACATAAAAGAAAAATGTCGCACTGGTGCCAGGGTAGATATTGAGGATTGGTCAGATTTCCAGAACGCCCTTAGAATTATTCAAACTTGTGGTAACATCATATTTTTAATATTTTTGTTTTATATGCACAAAGTCCTTGATTATAATAAGTTAAATAAGAATCTGATGTAACCCATCCGTAACAATAAGATACCTGAGTATTTATTATTTATAAATTACAGTAGGATCAGTGTGGTTTAAAATAAACAACTAACTTTTTGTTTATACTGTTAACTGAAATAAAATAAACTTTTTTATTTTACTTCTTGGTCAGTTTATGATTATGAATCTTAAAAATATGTTTATTGAAAGTATTTGGTTGAATAACAAATTAACCTTTTTTTGCCTTGGGCACCTTCTGATCTGTTACTGTTTTGTTAAGGCAATTTACTGATGCAGACAGAGGAGCTGGACACACTTGTGGCTAGCAGTGTCCTGGATACCCTGGGTCATTTGGTGACCTGCCACTCTCCCACTAAGGAGAGCAGCCAACTGTAAGTTGTATTCTTTTATTGTCTGGAACTTACACAGCAAACATCAGGCAATGACATTTTTTATATGTAAAGGTATTTTTTAAATAATGTGGCCACGAAGTTTAGACGATTTTAATAAATATTTAAATTCTTATTCTATGAAAACTATTGTTTTTAAAAGTTGTATCTGTGCTTATAATGGTAGGATAATAAAAAAATAATTTAAAAAATTTAAATTACAGCAAAGCTAGTTAGATACAACAGTATAAAAGTTTAGTGTCCAAAGGTAAAATGTATGTCTAAACTTTAACTACTAATTGCTTAACCGAGGACTTTGGCAAAAATGAGCTAACTTTATTTTGTGGAATAGAATATTTGTTTTACTCGATTGAGTCAAAAGTAAAAGGAATGCAGACGTTGCTAAACTACATCCCTTTCAGTCCCTTGTCACATATTTAGTGGTTTAATTTCCCCTTTTTAACTGTAGTGTGCATCACATATTTAGATGTTTAATTCACTTTGTTCAACTGCAGTGTGCCGTACTCTTGTCATATATTTAGATGTTTAATTATCTCCCATTCCCCTACAGGGTGCTGTCCTCCTGTCACACATTCCAGTTCCAAGCCTCCCTGTTCCTCAGCTCTCACACAGACACAGAAAGCCTGGAGAATCTGGTACACAAGTTAGAAGAGGGTGAGTTCATTTCTTCATCACAAGACTAGACATTTTAAACATTAATTAAAGGGGACTTGTGGCTTAGCTATACCATTCTGTGGAGTTAGGCTTGTGTTATAAGATGAAGACTGAGGTCTAGTTAACATTGGTTTCCATATTATTAATATGTAATACATATAGGCTTACAAGTTATACCTAAGACAAAGTTACTGTTAGGCATACTTTTTTATACTAAAATGTCCCTTGGGTCCATCAGCTGTGTGGAGAGAGAATACATGGGCAACATGTGGCTCTTCTCAACTTAGGGCCCAGGCTTTGTACAATCATTTAATGGTCTATTAGACTCCAGAGCCATAAATGGTATATTACAGCTAAGACAATGCGAGACATGCTTTCTTGTTAAGCACAAAGGACTATGAATAGGGCTAAGTAATTAAGTAAAGTGAGAATTAGGATTGATATTCTAGATGGATATATGTCTTTGTCTTTCTTTCTCTCTGTACTACCATAAAAACACCACTGCTGAGTCATGAGCTTAAAGTTAAACGGAGCAATGTCTGTATTTGTTGTTTTTGTTTTCCCATCCAGGAGAGAGCCCGCCCGTGTTTGCTGAGATCACCTCAGACCTAAGCAAGCTAAGTGGAGAGGTCCATAGGTTTGCCTTTGATATTGTTTTCAGCCAGCTCAAAAACTTTCTCAGTGCCGTGTCTGGTATGGAGGTGAGTTGAAGATTGATGCTAGAGTGGTGAGTTAATTTGATTCGTGTTATGTTGATTCATTAAATAAATGGTGTTTAGTATGCGAGTTGGATTAAGACGTTCTGGTTTCATATTCTTTTACAATTTTACCACTTGATGGTTGAATTAGTTGTGTTGAAATATACTGACAGAAATTCCCCTCATTACTTATCCCATATTTAGTTGTTTTTTTACTAGTTTAACACAATTCTTGTTGTGTTCATTAACTTGACAGCCGCCCCCATTCTTTTGGCCATAATCCTGTCATTCAAATTTTTTTATAATATAGCAAAATATTTAATTTTTTTGTTTTTTTTTATGAAGATTTGGACCTCTCAGAGTTCAGGTGGTGCTATGACCTCTGACCTCCCGACCTTTAGCCTTTCACCCCAGGAATACATTACCAAGGTACTACTTGTATATTTGACAAATTATGTGGAACAAGTATTTAAAATATTCTGTGGTGTTATATTTTATTGCGATGTCACACATGGTATGGGTACAGTGAGGAAATAAGAACTCACAGTTCCAATCAGCACCTATCCACATTTATTATAATCTGAGGATTGTCTTTTATGCTTGACCTTGACATATAAAGGGATACTGTAATCAGCACCATGACCAAACTCAAAAAACCCAAAAGTTGGGTAATCATCATAGCTTTCTGGATTAAGATAATTTTGGACAGGGAAAGAACCTGTTTTGTTCATTAAACTAAAAGTTTATCATATTATGTTAAATTCGATTCTGTGTAACACGAACACACCATAATAACGTATCATAAAACAAACTAATTAATTTTGTGGAACACACACACACACACGCCATAAAACTTCATCATCAAATAAAAAAATTGATTTTGTCGAACACACACCTACACACAAACACACACCTGCACACACACACCACACCTACACACAAACACACACCTACACACACAAACCCCAGTAATACCAATAAGAATGTATCCCGGTGTATCAACTGTGACCCTATGTTTGACCAGGTTGGTCAGTACCTGATGACTCTACCCCAGCACCTGGATCCTTTCACCTTACAGGACAGTCCGGCACTGACCATAGCCCTCAAGCATGGGAGGTTACCCTACACAAACCACCAAGGTAAATGAACCTACCATGTGTTACCTTTGCCTAGAAATTCTGTAAAGCTTTTCATACTGTATGTTTACATTTATTCTCAGTATTTATAGTGAATGCTAACATTATTTTTTTCATTTAGAACTAGGTTAAAGTTTTCATTATAAAATGCCATTTTTATTCAACAGAAGTCCCTGACCACCTGGCTGATTTATGGCTGGAGTCTGTTGCCATGGGAACCATGCATACCTACACAGAGGAAATTCTAAAAATACCCCAGTTGACAGCACATGGCTGCAAACAACTTGTAACAGATATAGGTCAGTTTGGTGGGAAAACCTTCACTAAGTTTATATTAGGAGAGGCGTGGTCAAACTGTAGAGCCTGCAACTGCTGGCCCAAAAGTTTCGAGTTCAGATCCAGGGCTTGAGTCTGAAGGGCATTCCTGAGTCTTCACAGCTCTGATGGGTACCTGACTTGTTTTAGGGAAATTAAAGTGGCTTGGCATAGTGCTGCCCACACTATCCCCTGTATGCCGAGGTAATTAAAACAGATAAACTCTACTTCATCTGCCCCATGTGTCCTGGGCATGAAATCTACATTGATTAAATAGAAAAACCTTTTACTAGTTTTATATTGCCAAGATATAACTATCTTATAATTTTATGGAAAAAACAAAGGTCAAACTGTTTCTGTTAGTATCTCTACCCCACCCCTCTTCTGTGTTACCCCATATAACCCTGACCCTTGCATCTGTATTGACAAAAAAGTTTGGGATGTAGTAATAAATTGTCCTGGCACTATTTAAAACTAAAAAACTAGATTTCATTACAAATTAGAACTAAAAAACTAGATTTCATTACAAATTAGAACTAAAAAACTAGATTTCATTACAAATTAAAACTAAAAAACTAGATTTCATTACAAATTAAAACTAAAAAACTAGATTTCAAAATAAATTATAACTAAAAAACTAGATTTCATTAAAAATTAGAACTAAAAAACTAGGTTTCCTTTTAAATTATAACTAAAAATAACTAGATATAATTATAAATTAGAACTAAAAAACTAGATATAAATTAGAACTAAAAATAACTAGATATAATTATAAATTAGAACTAAAAAGCTAGATATAATAATAAATTGTTATTAAGTTGTACCAAACAAAGTCATCACCACAGTATTTTAAATGTAGCCATGTTTTTTTCACCTGAGCAGAATACCTGTGCAACGTCCTGGAAGATTTAGGCCTGAGAAGTTCGGACACGTTGAGCCACATCCACACCCTACTGCAGGTCAAGCCTGAACAATTTGCTGACACGGCAGAACTGCTGCCTCAGAGGGTATCTCACACCGTGGGCAGCATGAGGGGAATACAAGTGTAATATAGCGGGGTTTAGCCATACATCTGTATAAGTGGGTTTTATATGGGTTTTATATTGAATTATTTACTTATCTTTTGTGATAGTATTTCTTTAATTTATGTTAATTAATTGTTATAAATAAACACAATGTATATATGTATTTATATCCATGATTTTATATACCATATGAAATGTAATGTTACTGTTGTTGTTATTTTGCTGTTGGTTTGTGCCTAATTAGATCAGCAGCTTCCAGGCAAAAAGGTACAGAAGTTTATCTTAGCAGTAGCACAGGTTTTCTACTCAAACACCAGGAAAACAATATCCACCTTAAAGGTGATGTTTTAAAGTGACTTGAAAGTTGACTTAGACTGACCAGTGCATTTATAGGATTTATTTTAAATAGGTTGAGTGTCCACTTAGAGATGCAACACATTTTTAATATGGGTAATCATAAGTATCTAGACAACTTACACGTTGTCAGAAAAATAATTTTAAAGTGTTGGAAAGTGATGAGAATGGGCGACGGCCGCTTGATTTGTTACATTAAATAAAGGGAAGAAACTTGTGTTTCACAAAAATGATGCATGAATTCATCAGTTTGTTAAAATAAAGGATCTCCCCTTTGTCTACCGCCCCCCCCCCCCCTTTTTTATGAACGATATAAAAAATACGTATTTTTACCCGTGTCCACTCCCCCCCCCCCCCCCCTCCAAGTGCCACCATCCCAGGAGAAAAAATAAGTCTGAAATAAACACTGCTTTAAAACAAGCAGGTCTACTTTTAGTTGGGTGGGGTTTCGACTTAATTAAGAACGATCGGAAAGGATAAGATAAAATAATACTTAGGGCTACTTAAAATTGAAGTTTTGGCTTAGTGTTATGCTTATAGACAAACAAAAACTAGAACAAATTATGGGGCTCTAAATACAACACTTAGCATTCAGCTAAATTTTCATAGACGTAAAATATTAACATTGAAATTAAAATCTGACGTTCTTTCTTCACAGCAAGTTGCACCAATGAAACGATGACAGCGCTATCGTAAATGAATAGACTCAATAGTGTCTAGACTTGACCAGGAAGCTTAAAGCCTCTGTATTATGTTAACATTATGTTGTAGGCCTATGAGGTCAGGGGAGGTCTATGGAAATTTTAAATAGTGATGTTATTGTAAAGGGTTGTCCTATTTTTTTAAAAGGATTGTGCAATTAATTATTAATTAATAATGTACACGATCTATAAAAAAAATGTCATTACCAATCAATTGTTTTCATTGGTGCCGAGAAATTCAACCGATGTTGCGCCCACATCAGATCCTATTTTTGTCACTGTCTGTACTTCTAGACAACGGGTGCAGCTAGATCTGGACTAGCTCTCGTCAAAACAAAATGGCTGGAATCTTGTCTTCAGATCACCTATAGTTTATGCTTTCCTAATTGTGGAGAGCTGGTTTTATTCTCAACGACACTCTCGACTGAGAAACCACCAAAGGGTTAAGAGACACAATTGGAGAGAGGCTCAACGATTTTGTCGCTGAGATGATCCGCATGGGGTGCAGTGTTTCTTCCAGACTAGGGGGGGGGGGCACTTGATATTTTCGGGGGGGGGGGGTCAACATTTTTTGAGGGGGCGGAGACTAGTAAAAGTATGTTTACTATATAAATTCCAACTCGTTCGGGGGACGGAGGGAGGGGCGGTAGACTTTCTTCGGGGAGACGCGCCCCCCCCCCCCCCCGAAGAGATGCCTGGAAGAAACTGATGGGGTGACGTGTGAAACAAAATAGTGGAATAAGGATGTTATGATTTCTGAATAACGCAATCTATTCATCTTCTTATGAATAGACGAGTGTATTTTTCGTGGAATTCGCTTATAGATAGAATCCCAGCGAGGTTGATTGTAAGCTTAAGTGTAAACCAGAGCGTTAGGCACACAATTTTAGTCTAAGGTAGGTCCTATTAGGCTTATATTAAGAATCGAAAACAAAACACGCTTGAGTTTTAAAAAAGTTCCTTCTTACTTTAAGCATCAAACCCAGCGCCAGGTTATTTAGCGTCCTGGGCAAAACTTATTAAAACGTCCCCTTTCACACAGATTAATTAATTAATAAAACATATGTATAAGAAAACAATTCATTAAAAGTGACATATTAATTTATTATACACGTTATAAGTAGACATTAAAATCCAATTTTACTTGCCTCCTTCGTCTCTAAAGTTAGCAATTCCAGTTTGCAAGCGTAATCACAGTTTATTGAAATTATTGGTAAGTCCACGAGTCTACTTTGTACTTTACAACATAGACCCCACCCCCCTTAGAAAATTTTAAGTGCCCCCCCCCTCCCTACCGGGAGAAAAAAGTCAGGGAAAAAAACACTGGAAAAAAAGTTCTTGTAGTGTTCGGCTCTCTGCGGTCCTCACAAGGTGAGTTCCAAACGGACCTTACCTGTTTTAAGCTTGACTGTCTTTAGTTATAATTGTAAAATGTCCATATTGTGTGATTATGTAACGATTTTTCTTTTTTTTTTTTTTTTTTTTTTTGAAAAATAAAAGGTTATAAATGTTATAGATTCCAGCCTAAAATTCTTATATATGAATCCTTTAGGAGAGGGTGAAATATATGAAAAGACAATTAATTAGATGATTAATTTACGACTAAGACTGTATGTCTACTAACATTAAGTATTGCAATCTACAACAGATACTGATGTATTTGTTTTTCAACTTGATAATGCTAAAAAAACCTACCAAACTATTTTGTTTAGAACTTAAGATCTATATAATTTTTACAATAGCAAACAATAACTTAAAGTTGTATTTATATGTAAGCGGTCAACCTAAGGTGCAAGAATTTGAAATGAATGCGAAGCAAAGCAACGAATTATCTCCCATTTCAAAATCCAAATAACAAAATTTTAATCAAGGGAAATAATTTCACAAGAATAGCTAAATTAACCATGTTTGAAAAACACAATAAAACGCTCTAAATTTCATTACGTAATAATTATAATAAATCTTTTATATTAGCTATGTAACCTTGTAGAAACAATATATTTTACCTATTGAATACTTAACTGTAGGCTTTGTTTGAAATTCTAAAAATGGTAGCTTTATTATAACATACTTCTATTCAATTTTGATGACATGTCTATAATTGACGCTTGAAATAACTGTAACAGTATACAAAATTTTGGATCCCCTAAAATAAAGGGATGTCGTTAAAAAAAAAAAAATTAAAAAAAAAAAAAAAGAAGTCTTTGAAAAAATCAATCAATGGTAACTGTTTAAGACAGTGTTAGAATTATTGATTAAATACAAAAAAAAAATGAAAATTTGAAAAAAAAACAAAGTTTACAGTTAGTTATAAATGCCATACTATATAATGTTATATATTAATACTTTAAGAGTGGTAATATAGATTCCTAAAAAAAAAACTACAGATTTTTCACCTAGAGAACGTACCTAATTGAAAATTTGAATAATCTAACTTACGATAAACTCGACTACTCGATATACTCTACTACATTCACAACACATATCAAACTTCGATACTTAAACATAACTAGACTCGATGCTCCAAAACTACGACACCAACTCGTTTAACTTCACCAAGCTCTATAAACGGTACTCCCAATCAACAACGATTTCACTGGACCTACTACTACACTTTAACAGTCAATATAATTCGATACCTTAATACCACAAGAATCAATACTCCCGAACTCCAGAGCAACGATATTTCATCACCTGCATTATCATTTCTCTATTACCAATCAGATTCCACTAGACCAGTTGCGTAGGCAGGGGGGGGGGTCATAACCCCCCCATAGACCCCTCGGTATATATAGAAAGTATGAGGGGGGGGTGTAAATAGAAAGTTTGAGGGGGGGGGGGGGTGCAAATCGAAATCACGAGGGGGGGGGGGGGTGCAAATCGAAAAGTTTGTCCCCGGGCGCCGGGAAGGGTCGCTACGCCTCTGAACACATTATTAAGCACATGTGACAAAATTGGAAACGGGAAGAGTAACTGAAAGGGGGTGGGGGTGGGTGGGGGGACACACCTGGTCAGGAAAAAAAATGCAAGCTCGCTTGTTGAAGTTTGCCTGGTAAATGCGCGTAATGTCAATGGCAACACTAGGTCAGAAGTCACATGGTTGATTAACTGAGGGTGTCAACCCCCTCCCCCCTCTTCCAACGATTTTGTATTTTCGGTTCGGTCTCTATTATTGTACTAATTCAACAGGATAAAACATTGTTTTAACAGTAATTTTACTTTTTTTTCGATGTGGTGTCCCCGTTTTGTGACGCTACGTTCTGTTTAGTTTTAATTGCATGATTAAAAACATTAACATAAATAAATTGAATTTGTATAGAAAATATATACTTATATACTTAACAGTGTCCGCCAGTCCGCCCCCCCCCCCCACCCCGGAGAAAAAAGTATGGACGAAACACTGCGTCCGACTAAAAATATTCGCTTTAAAATCAAATCACTAGCTTGCCATTAAAAAAAAATAAACAGCAACAGTTATCTGCCCCTTCTTTGTCCGTGGTCAACTCTTTGGCAATAAATCAACCAACCGTGACCAACAGCTCACCGCCGGCGGCTAATCTAACTCTAATCTCTCCTTAGATTAAAAATTAGTCATTCTTGCATTGTTATCGAAGACTAATGTATCTGGAAATAGCTGCTTTTGAAGGTGGGTTAAAAATGAGGTACAAGATTTGTCACAAATAGGCAAAGAAACAAGCAGGCACAATGGACTAAATAATAAAATTAAAAGCTTATAAAAATAAGCATATTATATTTTTCCAGCTGTTACATACATAACAATGGGACTCTAAATAAGTTGGTGCAGAGCGTGGAGGGAGATAACATTGCTTGAAAAGGGGAGCTAATCCAGATTAAGTTTAACCAGAGAACAACCTCTCTCTTTATATTTCATACTTTGGAAGTCGTTGTGCACAGGAGAGAGTTCAAAGTGCATTGGCTGTTCATCGCTTTACGAAGCCATGGCAGGGAGGGCTCTGTTTAGGGGAAGACATGTAGGTAGGGCAGTGGGTGTTAGCATGCGCGCGCGTGTGTATCGGGGGTGAGGGTGGGATACAACACCAACCATAAAATTTAAGATGTATCATGTTAAGGTATAGATATAGAAG